CATTGTTTTTGAACCATTCCCAGAACAGCCTATGCCCCTTTAGACTTCTGAGACTTCAGACCCTTCTCCATTCTAGAATGCCCTTCGCTTGTCTTGCCTACTTTTCAAAGTTGTTTTTATTCTTTAAAGTTGAATTCAAATGTCATCTCGTTTGAAAGCCACCCCCAATATTCTTATAAGGAACTGATCTCTCTTCTGTCCTCTAACACATTATCTTCCATTTACTGTAGATACATCATTCTGCATTATATTATAAATGATTGGAAATCTTAGGTAATTAAGTATGAAATGTTCAATTTCCTTAAGTACTAAGTTTGACAGTTGATATCTCTGACATTTCACTTTGACATTTCTTGTTTTATTTTTATTGTTTTATTTTATTTTATTCTTTCAAATGCATGTTTTGACGTGATTATCTTTCAAAATTTTTTTACAGCAATTTTTGTGAAACTATGGATAAGTCAAAAATTCACCTTATTTTCAAACATGACTTCCATCATGGAACCAATGTGGCACAGACAGCTCAAAATATCAACCAAGTGTTTGGGAAGGATGTGGCTGATGAACCCACAGTACATCAATGGTTTGAGAAGTTCCATTCTGGTGATTTTAATCTTGAAAATGAGCCATGTGGGCAACCTGAGACCAAGGTGAGTGATGATGAGCTGAAAGCTGTAGTAGAAGCGAATCCATCCCAACCTACACGTGAATTAACAGCAAGGTTTGACTTTACTATTCCAACAATATTGTACCATTTGAAACAAATCAGCAAGGTAAAGAAGCTGGATAGATGGGTTCTGCATGAATTAAACGAGCATCAGAAGAGAAATTGTCTTGAAGGTTGCCTTTCTTTGCTGTCATCACATAAAGGTGAACCATTTCTATACCGTATTGTTACATGTGATGAAAATAGATTATTTTTGACAATTGCAAGCACTCAGCCCAATGGTTGGATAAAGATAAAGTGCCAAAACATAGTCCAAAACCAAATATTCATCAAAAAAAGTTAATGGTGTCTGTTTGGTGATCCAGCACTGGTATTATCCACAACAGTTTCATGAAACCTGGTCAATAAATTACAACAGATGCCTACTGCAAACAATTAGATAAAATGATGACGATGCTTGTGATTAAGCAGCCGAGATTGGTCCATAGAGACAGGCCAATCCTCTTGCAAGACAAAACAATGCTTAGCCACACGTTGCACAAACAACGCTGTTCAAACTACAGAGGCTGGACTTGGAAACTCTCTGTTATCCACCATATTCCCCAGACCTTGCACCAATTGCCTACCACTTCTTCCAGGCTTTGGACCACTCCTTGCAAGAAAATATATTCAATTGTCAACAAGCTGTGGAAAATGCCTTTCATGATTTCATCGCCACTCACTCTCCAGGTTTCGTTGCCGCTGGCATAAACAAGTTACTGTTAAGGCGGTAAAACTGCGTCAATAGTTTAGGCTCATACTTAGATTAATTGTACAGTAAGAACATTATATTCCTCACAAAATATTGAGGCCTGAAAATGAAATCAGGTACATATAGTCCCCAGTACAATTTTAGCCCTCGATCAGTATTGGCAGCCCTCCTCTCACCTCTTCCTTCCGATTCTTGCTTTCAAAAAATAATTCTTTTTTTATTAGGGAGCCTATTAGCTCCGAAGCCTGCAAAGGCTTCTGATACTTTAAACGACTTTAATAGCTACCCAGGACCACTGTTAGCTCTTCTTCCACAGAAGAACCACAGCTCTTCTGTGGTTCCATGTTTAGGAAAAAGTAATTGTCAACCTCCGGCTTCTTTCCAGCTTCCAGAGAGGTTGTGATGTGAGCAGCCCAGGGAAAGCAGCTTCTGTGAGTTACACTTGCACCTTCCAGTTTGTGACATGAAGAACAGGAAATAGCCATATCACTATTGCCAGCAACCACAGCATATCTCTTCCACCGCAGGGTTTTCCCAGATGATGTCAGTGAGCTGAGCGCGTGGCAACACCATTGCCAGATGGCCTCGGGACAGTCTCAATTGCCTTGTCAAGTTTAGCTTCTCAAGTTCCTGAGAACTGGCACAGCAAGGATCACCCTGCCAGAGAAGAGGGAAGGTTTTCTCTGACAGTGCTGAAACCACGTCATGATTTTAGTTGTGGGTAGTAAGTATCAGTGACTCTGCCAATTATGGATGGTTTTGCTTCACAGCTATTTTTTTTCAGAGAATTTATTCTCGAGTGCAAGGAGTGGCATTTATTACAATGTTATGATTCATTCTACTATATTGGCTGTGATTTCATTCCATCTTCGAGTTCTAGGCCTAAGGCCAAAGGATGTCAGAACTGCCACCCAGAGTTAGACGCATGTTCTATCCATCCTGGTCATCTGCCTTGGACAATGGCCACGAAACACAAGCAGCAATAATTCCTCTTGATGTTGGTCTACCATCCTATAGCCCTTTCAAAAAAACCATGGTTCGGGCAGACATGAATCTAAACATTTTTTTCTAATCTACCTTTTCCTTATTACTTTACTTACGTATTCAGGAGTAACAATTTCCCTGGTTATAATACCTAACTTGTGAAACACTAATTGCATTTATTGGTCCTAAATTCATTTCTAAGTCTAGGAGTTGGGGATTTTGTACATAAATCCACTTTCTTCCTATTCATGTTATTCATGACTTTGTGGATTCTGCTTACATGTGTTCTCATAGCCTTGGTCTTTCTAAGCAGAAGTTTGATCAGCCTCTGCTCCTACCCTGCTTTCTCCTCCTCTGTGACTGTTAACATGCGTGCTGTTGTGGGGAAAACCCTTCATTAAACACACAAATGAATCAACGGTAAGGGGAAAAACAACTAAAGCACAGAAGGATATTATAATATGTCCTTGTGCTTGCTTAACGGTACCCATACTCTTTGTAAGCTGCCTAAACACTGAGGGAGATAGCATCTTAGCAGGAAGAGCTTAGAGTCTTAATTAAATAAACAGCATAGCAGAAGAAGGAAGAAACCAAAAGTTCAATGATCAGAGCTTCTTGGATTCTACTCAACACTTTCCAAGTCTACAGGCTTCTGATTCTGTTCCCACCTCTGCTACTGAATTGTCTTTTTTTTTTTAAACAAATAAAACAATGGCACTTGTACTTATTATTCACAATTATTGAAATAAATCATTCTAATTTGGCTTCCATTATATGAGAATCTTCATGTACCTAAAACTCCCATGTCATCTTTATATACACACACACACACACGCACACACACATATATTTTTTTTAAGGGACAGGATCTTGCTCTGTTGCCCAGGCTGGCATGATCATAACTCATTGCAACTTGGAACTCCCAGCCTCAAGTGATCCTCCTCTCTCAGCCTTCCAAGTAGCTAGGACTACAGGTACATGCCACCATGCCTGGCTTGATGGCATCTTTATAAAGTGTGAAGGTCATAAATATGTTGTCTGAAGATGGGCAAAGTAAGTCAAAGAGATATAAAGTGAGTTTGAATCACATCATAAGTCAATGGCAACAGCATATTAGTTCAGGGGCCAAATCTGGGCTGCAGTGCATGTGACACAGTCCTCACCTTCAGAAGTGACATTCTCTCAGAAGTCTGGGGTGCAGAAAAGGATAGCCTGATGTTCACTTTTGAAGATGATCACATTTAAACCCTGTTAATATTACTCAATGATTCTACAGACTTCATAGGTGTCAAGTCAGATGAAGTTTCATTATGTTTACCCATTTCGAAACATTGCTATTTACTCTTTTAAATGGCTGATCAAGACAATATGAAATTGCAAACTGTTTCCTACCTCGAGAAGACATGGCGATGCAATTTGTCCAACCATGAGGGATTCAGAAACAGCAATGGCACATCCTAATCTCCCCAGAACACAGGATGACTAAACAAATTGGCAGAAGAATGCAGCTTTCTCTCTCTAAGAAAAATGTGCTGGGAACTCTAGTTCCCACACTGTTTCTGCCTCCAGAAAGAAAAGCCCAAGACTTGCTTTCTGCCTAACTCCCTAAAGGTCACTTGAGTTCCTGTGGGATCCTATATTCAGATACATTAGGGATTGATGATGGATCTAAACTGTTGCTGACGTCCATTTGAGTCCATGGTCAGTAGGCCTCTGGCTTCAGAACCATTCGGCCACTTGGATATTTAATTTTCAGTGAGGCAGGGAAAAGGGAACTCCTTTTGGGATTGCTGTGCAGCAGCATATATTCACAATTCATTTTACTTGGGTTTCTAAATATAATGTTACTTGAATATTATATAGTGCTTGGCAATTTTCAAATTTTTATTTGATGCTCAAAACAGTTTCAGGAGGTATCTGTTGTTATCCCCGTTTTTACAGATGAGAAACTGAGGTTTAGAGAGGTTATGTTGCTCAAACCCAGGTTTGCCTAATGCAAAGCTTATGCTTTGGTTTTTACTTTTGTTTTGGAATAATTATATATAGTCACATGAGGTTGCAAAGAAACAAGAAATCCCATGCGTCCTTTCCCCAAACTCCTCCAATCTTACACAACTAGTATAATATCAAAACCAAGAAATCAACATTGGCACAATCTGCAGAGCTTGCCCCGAGTTCACCAGTTACTCATGTACTTGTGTGTGTGTAGCTAGGCAATTCTGTCATGTTTTTTTATACATGAACCACACATTGCTCGACCAATTTTAAATATGAAGTCAGATTATAGAAATGAATAAAATGACTTTTCCTTCAATAAAACAGTATCTATCAACAATTACATACATAACCAGTTTTCATTTCTAGTTGCAGTTAGAGGAAAGAAAAGGAAGAAAAAAAATCCTACAAATCTTAGCTTTAGGGAGCAAGAGTCTGTGCTACATGCTTTTGTGGGCACATCTTCTGGGACCCATAAAATGGTCTCAAAATGTGATGAGAGGGACCGAATAGGGGAACACAATTTGGGGATTTATTGATAATTATGGCAGCAATCTTCTCTCATGGCAGAAATGTCTATCAGTAAAATTAAGGTGATTTTACCTTGACTTCAAATTTGGTCTCATCATTTTCCTTTTCCAGGGAGTTCAAATTTGTCTCTGTATGAGGTTCCTCAGATGTTCTCAGAGGAGGAGCTAGAGGGACAAAGAAAATCTTCCCTAAATTTGGTCATTTGACATATAAATTATAACTCAGAGCATTCTGCCTGACTTGGATGAACAGGTGGGCCGTGTTGATGTGATTGACTAACAAAGCTTAATTGAGCTGCTGAGGTGATTTACCAGGTGGTGGATGAAATTGGAGGTGAAATAAAGACGCCGAAAAGAAAGTCTTCACTCCAGGGGCCTGACACTTGAGCAGAAGAGACAAAAGTCACACCCAGCACTACGTGAAACATCAAACCACAACAAATCAGTAAACACAATGTGGCAAAAAAGACAGAATTTCCATCATTCCCATTTTTCAGGCCCAGACTTCCTCATGAAGTCTTCCCTGGCTGTTACAAACTTCATGGATCTTTTATGCACTGCTGCTTTGGCAGGTATCGTTTGTACTGCGTAATATTGCACTTGATGTTGTTCTTGGATTAGAAGACTAAATTCTAGGTATCACATCTTATTGTGTACATTTTTCCATTAAAAGGTAATTAATTTGGGCTTATTACAGAAAATGTGAAAAATACTAAAATCTTACCATTTAAGCACAATCACTTGGTATATTTTCTTATCGTCTTTAAAATGCGCTCTCTTTGTACATACACACACATGATCATACTATAATTAAATTAGGAGGGGATGCCCATGCCTGCCCCAGCCAGAAGAAGGAATTATTGCTAATCTGATAGCTTCATGGTTGGATTCCAGAACTGATGGAACCACGTTCATTAGTGGATCAGAGGACTGTGTGGTAGAATCAGTTAGCTGAGGCAGGAAGGAATTGGGCTGTCTTGCTCTTGCTATCTTCTCTCACTCTATCTTCCTTCTCTCCTTCCCACAGGACCCCAGACACCTGGGATTTGGTAGTAACATTAGGACCTGGGAAGGAGAAGCCCTGGTTCACCCTCAAGCCTTCTTAACCTACTTTACCAGCTTTACCAAGTATTGGAGGTGATGGCTACAAGGCTAATAGGTAAGCAGTACTTTGAGTTCTCATTTGTCACTGTCACCACCCTTGTGTATGTAGTTTCTTTTGGAAACTTATAGGATACATGTGATTAACATGAAGCAGAATTTCAGCATTTCTAGGTCCCACGGCCAAAATGCTATCGTCTAATGCCACCAACATGTCACCCTGATTCTTATGTATGGTAGACTTGATGGAGGTTGACCATCTGGCCTCCAGAGGCCCCACCCAACCTTCACATTCTGTGTGCCAACTGGAAGCATCTGGGGCTTTCTGTGGGCTTTTCATAGCTGTTATGTTGAAAATTGTAGAAAAGCACACTATTTGCTGCCCCGGGTTATATGATCAATGTTGCTGCTTTATAATAATAAACAATCCTTTGGGCTCCTCACTCTCTGTAGGATCTTTGTAAAGTGAATGACTCCAGGCATAATAACTGGATGCTAGAAATGCACGCTCTGCGATTCTCCATGATGGAGAAGCACCGGCCCTTGACACTGTAGGCAGAGTGAAGTAGCTAAAGGCGGAGCCACAGAAGCCATACTGCCAACGTTCAACCTTGCTCTCCTGTGCACAAGACACATGTGATCCAAGTAATCTCTGTACTTTAGCTTCTTCCTCTATAAAGTGAGAAAGCCTACAGTAAAGGGTTGTTATGGAGCTTTAATGAGTTAATATGCATTAAGTATGTAGACCATGATAAGCGCTCGATACATTCTAGCTATTGTTATAGCCACATGGCATTAAAAAGTTTTTTCACATTCCTTATGAACTTCAGGGATGTTAAATGTTGTACCCAAGGAACCCAACCAACAAGATTTAGGGCTGAGATTCCAGCTCTCATCTCTTAAGCTCCTCTACTCACCTTCCTAACACTGTGAAATACCATCATTTATCTTGGCACAGACTCAGTTACCAAGGAATCAGACAAATGTGTTTGAAAATCCTGTCAGTAACTTGTCTGAGTCACACTTAGTAGTTACTCTCTAAAAACAAAAGTGCAGTATTGTTTTGAAAATGAGCTAGTTTCCTGACCTAGGTCAATGACAACCCATTCAGACATGATGAAGATCTGTTTATCCTGAGAAAGAGCATTATCTTTTTTAAATTTTTTTTTATTTTAGCATATTACAGAGGTACAAATGTTGAGGTTACATATATTGCCTTTGTCCCACCTAAGTCAGAGCTTCAAGTGTGTCCATCTCCCAGATGGTGTGCACCACACCCATTAGGTGTGTATATACCCATCCCCTCCTTCCCCCTCCCACCTGTCTGACACCCAGTGAATGTTATTACTATATGTGCACTTAAGTGTTCATCAGTTCATACCAATGTGATGGTGAGTACATGTGGCACTTGTTTTTCCATTCTTGTGATACTTCACTTTGTAGAATGGGCTTCAGCTCTATCCAGGATAATACAAGAGGTGCTAGAAGAGCATCATCTATTATGAAAATTTGTCTTTGAAAAGCTGAGAAGCAATCCATCATTCTTGCTTTATTTACTTGAAACAAACATATGTTCCTTGAAGCAATGAATAAGGCCAAGTCATAGTAATATACATAGTTTAGTTTAAGGAAAGATGAGAGGTCAAGAGAACTAAGTCCTATTTCCAACCATCCAAGAAGGATGTCTCTGTGTGTGTTTGTGTATGTCTGTGGTATGTGTGCACAAATGTGTCTGAGTGTGCATGTGTATGAACGTGTACATTGAGTGTGTGTGTGTGAGTGTTTTTGCATAGAAAAATTTAGGAAAGAAATGTACTAAGTTGTTATCAAGGCTTATATCTAAAAAGTGGAATATATAATTGAAGACAGGGACTATAAATTGCAAAATGGAAAATTACCAAAAGTCATAATTTTCAGATACACAGAAACTGAAAGAATTTGTTGCTAACAGACTTCCCAACAAGAAATGCTAACAGAAGTTTTTTATTCTGAAGAGAAACAACCAAGATGGGAATTCAGATTTATAATAAGGAATAAAGAATCCCAGAAATGGTGAATAAGAGGGTAAATATAAATACATATTTATTTTTCTTAATTTCTTTAAAAGATAAATGATTATTTAAAGCAAAAGTTATACTACCATAGTGGGGAGTTTAACATACGGAGATGTAATGTTTGTGATAAGAATAGCACAGAGGATGGGGGGACATATAGAACTATACTGTTGCAAACTTCCTATATTTTGCATAAAGTGGTATGATACTAACTCAAAGTAGATTATGATAAATTAAGAATGCATATAATAATCCCTAGAGAAACATTTTGGAGGAAAACAATGCAAAGAGGTATGCTAACAAGCTGATAGAGGAATTAAAACAAAATACTAAAAAATATTTACTAACCCAAAAGAAGGCAGGAAAGAAGGAAAAAAGGAATAAAAAATACAGGAGACAAATAACAAAATAGTTATTAATAGCTTTCAATCCAACCATGTCAATAATTACATTGTATGTAAAGGGACTAAATACTCTAAGTACAAGGGAGAGGGGAACAGATTGTATTAAAAAAATAAGACCCAACTATATGCTGCCTACAAGAAGTATACTTTATACACAAAGAACGGAAAAAAATACATCATGCAGGCACTAAGCATAAGAAAGCGAGAATGGCTACAACATTAATAGCAGACAAAATAGATTTAAAGAGTATTACTAGAGATAAGGAGGAAAGGAGAGACATTTCATAATTATAAAAGTGTTACTATATCTAGACAACATAAAAATTATGAATATGTATGTGCTTAATAACAGAGCTTCATAATACATGATGCAATAAATGAAATACACATCATGTCCAAGAGCAGTTTATCCCAGCAAGGTACAGTTGTTTGAACATCTGAAAATATATCATTGTAATCCATCATATTAACAAAGAAAGGAGAAAAACCATATGATCATCTCAATATATGCACCAAAAAGAGCTTCTGAAAAATTCAGTTATCATTCATGATAAAAACTCTGAAAAAATAGGAATAGAAGAGAACTTCCTCAATCTGAAAAAAGACAATTGTGAAAAACCTATAACTAACATCATACTTCAGGTTTAAACATGAACTCTTTCCCAATATTGAGAAAAGGAAGGATGTCTGATTAACTGGAAGTCCTAGCCACTATAATAAGACAAGCAAAAAGGCATAAAGATTGAAACAGAAAAAGTAAAAGCATCCTTATTCACAGATGACATGATTGTATTTCTATGTGGAAAATATTTATTTTTAGAAATATATTCTTATTATTCATTATATTTGATAAACTCCATTTATTATAGGGTTAAAAAATATAAGATGCCTAAGACTTTTACACTCAAAACGACTGCATTGTTGAGAGAAATTGAAGATGATCTAAATAAATGGAGAGTTATAACATATTCATGAATTGGAAGAATCAGTATTGGTAAGGTAACAGTTTTGTCCAAATTGATCCATATATTCAGTCATAATCCCAGAAGAAATTGAAAGGTCATTCTAAAATTTACATGGAAATGAAGAGGACCAAAAATAGCCAAAAAATCTTGAAAAAGAACAAAGTTGAAACACTTAGATTACCTGATTTTAGTGCTTACTTATAAGCTATAGTAATCAAGACCACCTGGTATTGGCATAAGGATTTATCTATTTTTTTATCTTCTCGAAGAACCAATTTTACCACTCCATTGCTAATAACTTGTTGGCATTTAAGGTCCTTAATACAGTCATTTTGTGCTAAAGTTATTTGTGTATTTGTATTATTCCATTAGCAGATTATGAGCTTCTCCTTGTATCAAGGCATTCAGTGTTACCTAAGCGTTTGTCTTCAGTATCTGTACTATGCCATATCTGTAGTTTGTTTTAAATAACATCTGTCAAAATACTGATCATTATCCACCTTAGACAACCACAATCTCAACCCTCATGGGTGCTGATGAAACACAAAAGCCACAAAGGTTCCTTCCCCCAAATAATCTACCTGAAGTGGAAGGCTGGCTGGTTTTCGATGACACCCATTTTGGGGAAGACTCAGGATGAGGGGCCACAGGTTGCACGGGGCGAGTCTGTTTGGCTGCCAGTTTCATCAGACTCATTTGCCTCTTGTGAAATATTTCCTGCACATCATTCAGCTTCTGCAAGATTTTCTGAGCTTTGGCCTGCAGTAACAAAAGCAAATCATGATGAACAGGATTCCCTGTACTGAGCCTGAGGGCATGCAGCATTCCCTTTCTCCCGCCTTCCCCTCCTCCTCCCAGCCCCACCTCCCTCAGGTGACTCTCCTCTGGGCATCCTCATGCAAGTCACTGCACATCTTGCAATGCTCCAGAATTGTGCCTCTAGGAGTCAGTATCTCCCACTCGAGATCTTTGAGGGCAATGACCGTATCTTTTTCACTACAGTATCTCCAGTGCCTGGAACACTCTCTGGCACAGGGTGGTACTCGGTAAATATTTGTTGAGTGGATAAATGTTCACCTAGCCATGTCCATTAATGGTAGGAAAGGATGCTACAGGCCACAAAGGGCATTAGACCAATGTACGAAACAGGAGGATTTCAAAATATTAATAAGAAAGGTACCCTGAATGAGAGCCCTGATCGAGAAAAGAGTTTAAGTATTTTAAGGGAAAGAGTTGGCTAAATTCTGAGGTAGGATCAAGGGAACCAGGAAACACCTATAATAAAAAGGATACATACTAAATTTTATTCTGTGTGACCCCTTCTCTATATATAAGTAGAAAAGTAATAAACTGAAGAAATACCAGAGAAAAGATGGAGCTCAAAGATGTTCCCTTAACTGTCAGTTCTATGACAGAGGCTCAGAAAAACAAGAATCAAGAGCTGAAGTCTGAGTTACACCAAGGCCTGCATTCAGCTATGTTCCTTCTGACCCTGCTTCCAGTAGGACATCCCTCCAGCTCTGGTGCATACGGGGAAGCGGGTAGCCTTCACTTTGTCATACCAACTCTGGCATCCTTCCCCTGGATAATTTTAACCACCAAAGAAGGGACCCAGAACCAGAAGAGCTGAACCACCATAAGCCATGCAGGGTGCTCTGAGGATGACTAATTCCAAAAGTGCAGGCCTAGTATATACCCAGGGAGGTTGGCGTGTTTTGCAACCAGAAACGTAAATTTGTCTTTTTTATGCTGGGCTATATTCTGACGAAAAGAGCAAAGAGCCAGCCCTGAGGTAGGACTCAGAGCAACCAGGCTTCCATAGCACAGGAATGTCAGCTGTAGAACAACTGTTCCCCCACAGCCTGAAGACCTATGAAGGCTGGCCTCTGGACCAAGATCTGGGGCTGGTCTCACTCTTCAGAGGGTCTCAGACTATAGACCTGCACTGTCCAATGCAGCAACTGCTGCAGTGACAGCGACATGTGGCTGGTGACTCTTTGGAATGTGGCTAGTCTGAATTGAGATGTGCTGTAAGTGTAAAATACATAGTGGATTTTGAAGACTCTACTTGAAAAAAGAATGTAAAATATTTCATTAATAATTTTTATATTGCTTGTACATTGAAATAATATTTTTGGACATATAGGTTAAATAAAGCATTATTAAAATTGATTTTACCTGTTTCCTTCTACTTTTTAAAATGTGGCTACTAGAAAATCTTAAATTACATATGTGGCTTGCATTATATTTCTATTGGTCAGTGCTGGTCTAGACAAAAAGTCAGCAAACTTTTTCTGTAAAAGACCAAATAGTAAATATTTTAGGCTTTGTACACCATCTGGCCTCTGTCACAACTACTGAACTCTGCTGTTGTAACATCAAAGCAGCCATATATAATCCATAGATGATGAGTGTGGCTGTGTTCTGATAAAACTTTATTTACGAAAACAGGTGGCAAGCAACTTTGGCCCACAAGGCTACAGTTTGCTGATCCCTTGTCTAGACTAAGCTCAGGGTCTGCATTGAAAGGGACTCTTCAGAGAAAGTACTCTCTGGTGTCAGGAAGTTAAGTTGTACAATTTACTAAAGGTTCTGATACCACAGCTGTGAGTCCAAGTCCCCAAAGAAACCAAGCTCCTTCACATCAGCATGAGGACAATGTCAATCTGTACTCCTTGGGGGACGATGACAACATTTGGCAATCAGCAACTCCTGCCCTTCTGGCCTGGTGATGAGCTTGAGGAATCTGAGACATGGATGTCAGTTGCTGCGCAAAGATCAAGAAATCTGGCTGAATGAATGATTGTGAAATTGGTGATGTACAGTGGACAGCCCTGGTGTGAGGTCAACGGCCATGCCAGAGCTCAATGACTCAGTACTTGGACTAGACAGGACTCGGATCACCTTTGCCATTTCCCCTCAAGATCCCAGGTACACCCTGGCAGTGGTGAGTCAGTCAGAAGAAGCCCTAAATTCCTAAATCAGATAATAGGGAAGTTCATGCAAGATTAACAACTGCATTTCTTGGCCAGGCGCGGTGGCTCACACCTGTAATCCTAGCACTCTGGGAGGCCGAGGCGGGCGGATCGTTTGGGCTCAGGAGTTCGAGACCAGCCTGAGCAAGAGTGAGACCCCCATCTCTACTAAAAATAGAAAGAAATTGGCCAAACAACTAAAAATAGAAAAAATTAGCCGGGCACGGTGGCACGTGCCTATAGTCCCAGCTACCTGGGAGGCTGAGGCAGGAGGATCGCTTGAGCCCAGGAGTTTGAGGTTGTTGTGAGCTAGGCTGACGCCAGGGCACTCTAGCCCAGGCAACAGAGTAAGACTCTGTCTCAAAAAAAAAACAAAACCAAAAAACAACTGCATTTCCCCCTTTCTTCTTTCTACCTGGAAATTCATTCTTCTTACTACAATCAAAATTATCTTTCTAAAATGTGTATCTGATCATATAACTTCCCAGTTTTAAAAGCCCTTCAGGGGCTCCCCTCTGTGTCAGGATAAAGTCCAGACTCCTGGTCCTGGAGCACTAGGCTCTTCCCTGTCAGCATCTATTTCCCCCCAGACCCCTGTTCTCCAGCTGGGGCAGTTCCCCAGATGCCCTTCTGTGCCCAGCCTCATTGTCTCTGCACCTTCTGTTCCTTCTACTGAGGTTCCCTCCCCCTGACTTTGTTTCCCTGAAAAACTCTTACTGAATCTTCCAGACGAAATTTAGGTATTTTTCTCCTATGTGGAATACCTTGGCCTTCTCAGGCCAAGCTGACCACTGCCTCCCCTGTGGGCCCCACCGTCCCTTCTATTCTGTGTGCTTTCAGACCAACAAGCAGTGACTGGGGATGTGTTTTATCTTCCACTAAACTGCCAGCACCTGCCTATTGATTTCAAGGACTGTGACTTTCACTATTTTATTCCCAGAAAAGAGCACAGCATACCTGGCACAAACTGGGCACCCAGGGAATATTTGAAGAATTGTATTTTGCTGTTTGCTGCTGAGATCGTTTCACTCTCTGGACTAGGCAGTGAAAGTGAACGAGGAAGAGAAACCAAAACAGCAGCACCAAGAGGGTGGCAAAATAGCAATGTGTTAAGAAAAAGCACTTTAGGAGTCTCTGGCAGTGACAGGGTGGCTGCTATAAGAACAACAGTCTAATTTCTGACGCAGTTTTGATAGCCCCTGTGTCTCCAATGTAACAGATTCCATTTTTAGACATAGAATACCAATTTTTTAAAAATAAATTTTATTTTTAGAGTAGTTTTAGATCTATGGCAAAATTACAGAGTAATACAGAGTCCCATATACCTCATACCCAGTTTTCTCTATTATTAGCATCTTACATTATGGTAAGTACAGTAGGGTACATTTGTTACAATTAATGAACCAATATTGACACATCGTAATTAAATAGAGTTGATACTTTAGATTCCCCACCACCACCACACCAAGATACCACATTATGTTTAGCTGTCACATCTTCTTAGGCCCCCATTGGCTGTGACAGTTTTTCACATTTCCCTTGTTATTAATGATCTTGACTATTTTGAGGAGTACTGGTCAGGCATTTTGTAGAATGTCTCTAACTGGGATTTGCCTAATGCTTTTCTCATGATTAGACTGGGGCTGTGGGTTTTGGGGAGGAAACCCACAGAGGTAAATTGCCATTTTCATCACATCATGTCATGGGTACATTCTATCTCCATGATTTATCACAGTTGATGTTGACCTGGATCACCTGGGTAAGGTGATATTTGTTAGGTTTCTCCACCATAAGGTTACTCTTTTCTTTCATTTTATTTGTTTTCATACTCTTTGGAAGTAATTCACTATGTGCAGTTCACACTTAAGGAGTAGTGAAGTTATGCTACTCGTCCCTGAGGGCAGAGTATCTGTATAAATAATGTAGGATTCTTCTGCATGAGAGATCAGTTTCCTCTCCCCTCATTTATTTATTTATTCCATCATTTATTTATATCAGTATGGATTCATAGATAAAATAGATATTTTATGCTTTGGCTTGTAATTAAATACCATAATATTTTATTAGTTTTGTTGCTTAAATTATTCCAGCATTGGCCATGGGGAGTGCTTTCAGTGTGTCCTATGCCCCTTAATTGTAGTGTGTTGTTTTTTTTTAAGCACCTCCTTACTCTTTGGCACTATAAGATGATCCAGGATCATCTTGTATATTTCCTGCCCCAGTCCCAGAAGCGGCCATTTCTTGAAGGAGCCCTGGCTTTGTTTCTTGGAGAATGATGTCAGAAAACAAGATCTTGGTGCTGGGTGTGCCCACTGACACTGTGGTTTTGTTGCTTCTATGCCTCCTCAACTGTCAAAGTAAGGAAATACATCTGTCTATACCAACCCAACATGTAACTAGGAGTATTTCTGTACGTACAGAGTGCCAATGTTGACAACAACGTTATTACTCACCAGTGCACAAATCTCACTCTCTGACACAAGAGGATATTTACATCTTATAACCTAGAATTTTACTCCAAACCAAAAAAAGAAATGATGGGCTTTTATTTATTTATTTATTCTTCTTCTTCCAATCCTTCTCTTCACCCACATTTCTCTCTGTTTCTCAGAGGTGGTTTATTAATTTGTATTCATTTTCTGGTGGGTGGTGTGGTGGGGAAGTTTGCTGAAGCCAGTCAGAACTGCAGCTGCAGCCACACATCCGCCTGGTAGACCTGTTACACTTATTTGATCAGCTAATGCAGTTAAAGCTGGGTTGAGACTGTTCTGCCTTAGGGATTTAACTTGGGGCCACCGATACTGTGTTGGCAGTGTAGCATGTACACCAGATGGGCCTTCTCTTTGCCCCTTGTACAGGAAAATGGAAGAGTCCCATGCTGGGGAAAGGTGGCCTGCCCACTCCCCACCCCACCTTGAGCTCATACCTCATGACCAAAACTCACTGGGAGCAGTCAGGGAAAGAATAGTACTAAGTAAGGTAAAGCTCCACATCCAGCTGCCCCCACCGCCCTCTGCCCACGCAGCCATCCTGCCTGCCCACTTGTTCAGCAAAGTATGGATTGGACATCAGGCACAGGCTAGGCACAGGGACACAGAGATGGATGAAGCAAAGACCCTACCCTTAATGAGCTCCCTGTGTAATAAGTAAGACAGATATTAAAAATAAACAACTAGAATACAGGTTGATATGTGTCACATTAGATCAAAGGTTCTTGGCCTGGGTCCATGGACGGACTTGAAAGTACCCCCTAAAATCACTTATAAAATGTTATGCATGCTGGATGGTCCCTGTTTGTTCCTCGCCTGCATCTTCTCTGGCCTGCTCTGTGCCCCAGGAAGCTGACTACTGTGAATTCCATTGGATGAGCTCACAGGCTTTTATTTGGCTTTGGCCAATGGGAAGCACCACCAGGAAGTCAGAAAGAGGAAGCGAGAACAGTAGGGGTATATATGGTATATATTTTTCTACCAGTGCCTGCATTCTTCCACCCAAGGCCGCAGTTCCTCCAGCTGCCCTCTTGTACAATCACAGCTTCAGCTCTGCCTGGGTTCCCCTTGGCCCTTCAGGTTTGGGAGTAGTAACTTCTCCCTGTTTCTTGCTAGCCCCAGGGTGCTTCACCATCCCTTGCTGTGTCCCCCAACTCTTGCCCGTATCTTTGTAAACAGTGCCTAAATCAAACTTCTTTCAATCACTTTGAGTGTGTGGAGCCCTGAAAATATGTGGATCACATTCATAATAGGGTCTATTACTCAAAAGAGGTAAAGAAGCTCTGAAAACAGAGGCACATACAAGGTGATGTGGATCCCAGATCCATCTGTAACCCTGCTGGCTTCATGGAAGAATGCTCTTCTCAAAATGCAAATCCAATCAAGTTATTCCCCTGCTTAAAACCTTCAATGGCTTCCCACTGCTCTTAGAATAAAGACCAAACTCCTTAATGTGGCCCACAAAACCCCATCTCATCTGCCGCTCTCTAATCTCACCCAACACACCCTCCTCTTGCTCTCTAGACAATGGCCACCTTGTCCTTTTGGTTCTCAACTGTGCCAGACTCCTCCTAGCCTTAAAGCCTTTGCACATGCTGTTCCTTCTGTCTGGAAAGGCTCCCCCATCTTCTCTACTCACTCTCTAGGCCTTGCCTCAAGGGACTCTTCCCAGGAGCCTCTTCGGATCCAGTCCAGGTCAAGTTCCTCTGTCACATGCCCAGTGGGACTGAATCCTTCCTTGAGAGCACTTATCTCAGCTTGCAACATACTTTTGTGTGATTCTTTTATTAACACCAGCCTCTCCCAGTTAACTGTAAGCTCCACGAGGGATGGAAACATGCCTATTTCTGCTCATCACTATGTCCTCAGCACTCAGAACAGTGAATGATATATCAGAAATGCCCATGAGTGTTTATAGAGAAATGACTGACTGAAGGTAATATTTGAATCAGACCACGAAGGGTCAGTTTGCCAAGACATTCAGGACAGGAGTCTAAGAGGCCATCTGAGGGCTCCAGAACTGGTTAGCACTCAATACAGCCTGCTTAGTATATCCTGCATGGACTTTTTTAGGCAACAGACAAAGTTCCCCTCCGTCCCCATCCCTTTCCCAACCACAGGATCAAAATAACCCAGAAACATTACCTCTACATCTTGGGTGAGTATCAACTCAAACTGGTTATAAAACTCCTTGGGGCAAGGCAACTGGTACTCCTTGGCTGTGCCCATGAATGTCTCAATGTCGTTCAAGGCAGTGTCAACTCCCTCTCGAGACTGGCATTTGTCTACAGCCTGGGAAGCCAAGAGGTAGATTCCCGCCTCACACCACTGGCTGACCTTTTGAAGAGAGAAAGTATATGCTTAGGCTGACCACAACTCAGAGCCACCACAATTCTCAGGAGATCTGAGCTCATAAGGGGGTTACAAGGATTCTGAGACAATGGGAAATTGTCATGAGACAGCATAAAGCTTAGGAGTCTAACCTTTGCAAATAAAACTGTGAGGTGGACAAGTCCAAGCCCATTTTACATCTGTCCACTTGTCAGGGAAGTCACTCACTCAGTATAATGAATCACATAAACATTCTTCTCTTTTCCACTAACAGTAATTGCTACATCTCCAGGAGAGAGTTAAAGATTTCTAAGGCTGATCTAACCATACAGAAATGTAATCAATGGCTTTTTGGGTTTACCTGCCAGGCCATTTGTCTTGCACCCTAATTGGTTACCAGAACACAGGGTGATTAGTGATGCATTAAACCTGGCCCCTGCATTTCCTGGGGGAGGAAATGTCCCTTTTAACAAAAACACTACTTTCCTCTTTGGATTCCCAAGTAATCCATATTCGGATTTATTGGCATTCATCTTTAGTAATGAAGCATCCAAGAATGCAAAGCTTTGTAATTCAGCACAGCAATACTCAAATTTTATAGATGCTGGGATGAAATCAGATAGGTTATGAATTCTAATAATTCAACTTTATAAAATACTTATTTTCTTTGCTTTTCCGAACTCCACTGAGGCACCTGAAAAGAAAGACAGGGCGCCCTCATGCTACTTGGATATTTATATGAAAAGAAGCTTCCAGTACAAATACATCTGCATTTCTGTTTACCATGTGATCTCAAAAGCAATGTAAAATAACTGCATAGAAAAAACAATCAAAAAGTATTAATAACACTCCAAAGCAGTTATCCGTAAGTGGAAAAATTACAAGCAACTTAAATGTTTGCCTTTATTTTTTTCTTAAATTATCCAAATTGAATATGTATATTTAGAATAATAAAAAATAATAAAAATATTTCAAAATAAACAATTACCACTGTGTAGGGATGGTGGTAGTAGATGTGTAGGTGTCCATGAGTAAAGTTTTCCCCGTTTCCTACATTTTTAATTTTCAAAATAATATGAAACCATGTTTTGATATATACTGTGAAAACTCTCTTTCAACATCATGCCTAGATCTGTAGAAAACATTACGCTGTGGTCTTCTACAGAGTTACGATGGCTACTTGCATTCTCACACACACACATGCCAGGCTATTATCTCTGGAGCAGAAATGGAGTTAGGAAAACAGCTGCTGACCCTGCAGCGAGCTCAGCACACACAGCAGGCTGTGCACCAGCCTCTTCTGAGCCACTTGCTTCTGGAACAACTGTATTTCATTGACATTAAAATCCCTTTGGCAATGGGCTGACGTAAACAGCCTGGGCGAGTGCCCACAGCCATGGCAGAAACAGCTGTGGGAATGGAGCACGCTGACTCACAGCCATCAGCCACATGCTGCCTGGGAACAGCTGACAGGGAAGGCTCCAGAAGTCACTGCTCCTGCTGACTGGGAACAGAGGCCACCTCCAAAGGGCATGAGGGTCTGCACACCCCTCTCTCTGTGAAGCCTTGCTGTCTAGCCTAAGAAGCTCTGGGTTTGGATTCTGGAAGTCCTGATTTCAAATCTGGCTTCTGCTAGTTAAGCCATGTGTGGTCGTAGGCAGTCATTTATCCCAGGATTTCTCAGTGCTGTCGCTGCACCACCTGCACCAGAATCACTTGGGCACTTTACTAAAATACTGATTCCTGGGCATCATCTCAGACCACTGAATCTGAGTCTCTGGGTGGCATCAGGGAATCTGCAATTATTACCGGCTCACTAGGTGATTCTCATATACTAAATTTTGAGACCCACTGACATAACCATGCTGAGTATCAGTTTCTGCCTCTGTACAATGAGGCCATTAATACGTTCCTCCTAGGTTATCTTGAGGATCAAATAGATGATGTAATTTTTCACCTGATTGGAACAGAGAAGGTGCTCAATAAATGGCAGGGGGTTATAGTGGTCATTATGACCTAACCTTCTCCAAAAGGATTCACAATCCCTTGCCTTTATATGAGAGAAGCACTCTGCAAATATAGTGCTTGTTTCTCCGTACACCTGAAAGGGAATCAAGAAGTGTGCCCCGGGGCAGGCCAAAAGAAACTCTTCAAGTCTGGTTCCACAGAGAGGGAAATGAACTTACGTTAATTTTAATGGGGTGTCATCAAACTGGCACTAACTGATTAACACTATGGTGCTCACAGGGCAGTAATATTCTCCAGGGATTAGGGGGATAGAGGGGTAAACCCACAACTAAAGGACACGGTGAGCATTGTAGAGGGGAAGGGCACACCTCTAACCCCGCTTAGGTGAGGCAAAGACATAAAATGTAACCAAAATGTTTGTACCCTCATAATACCCTGAAATAAATAAATAAATAAAATTTAATGGGGTGTGGTGGGATGGCTGGGGCATTTTTTTTTTTTACCTTCAATAACTCTATGACCTGGAATCTGCAATTTTTAGTGGCTTTAGAGCACTTTTTCTCATAAAGTACTTGATCCTTTCAGCAATGATGTGAGGCAGGGAGGACAACTATAATTAAAACTGCTTTACAGAAAATCTTGCAGACATCCTATTCACGGTTTTGTTTTGCTCACCTTGTCTAGCTGTCTATGCAACTCCAAGGACTTTCCTAAAATGTCATATTTTTTCTTGTTTTCATTGATGAAGTCATCACAGAGGTGCCTGAGCTCCACACACCTGGGCCTGATGGAGTCCACTGCATAATGGTGGCTTTGGATGAGCTGGTCCCCAACTAGTGCAAGCAGCTGGGCCTTTTCCAAGGGCTCCTGTGAAATGAACATCCACAGCCAAGCATCAGAAGTCAGGGCATCCTGAGGCTGATAACTGCCTGGCACTGTGTGCTCCAAACCTGGAGGGAGGCTAGGGAGATGCTGACCTAAGTCTTAGCTGGGGAGCCTGAGAAAGGTCTGTGGTGGTTCTGGCTCCCCGGGAAGTTGAGCCTAGTCCAGGGTCATCTGCACTCTGAAGAAAAGTAGTCATTCATTCAAATATTTGTTAAGTTCTGGGCTAGACACTGAAGATATAGTGTTAACAAGCCAGGAAATCACGGAGTGCTATAATGCACATAATAAGAGACTCAGAATCCCCCTATTAACTAAAGGAAAAGGAAGAGAGACAGACATTTGGCACTGAGGACAGTTGGGAGGATGAGCTGAAGTTGAGCAACTGGTAAAGATCTGATCTGGGCAACTCAGTGGCAGTCATGACACTTAAGAAATATGCTTGTCTAGGCCCCTTCCCAAGGCCCACGTGGGCTGTCTGTCTGCTCAACTGCATTTCCTACCTCTTTCTGCACAGCTCACTCTGTTCTAACCACATGTGTCCTGTCTTCCTGTTTTTAAGAATTCACTCATTCATCCTTCACATATTACTGAGGACCTACTGTGTACTAGACACTGCCCCAGCTGCTGGGTTTGTTGATAAACAAGGCAGGCCAAAATTCCTGTCCTCATGAAGCTTACATTTTAACGGGAGACACGGACAATAAACCATTAAATACATAGATCATACAGTATCTTAGATAGTGACAAGTGCTATGGAGAAAAATAGAGTCTGGTGGGGGAGCTACTATTTTAAATCAGATGGTGAGAGAAGGTCTCAATGAAAAGGTGCTTCCTGAGCTTAGAGAAAACACTTAACATAGAAAGCCTGAGACTGCTATCCCTAGAAAAGCCTTTTGTTGGCATCCGGGAACTTAGATTTGGGGAGGGTTCCTACCATTCTCTGATATGAACAGTTCACTGTGCCTAAACTGTTTGTGCAAATAATGTGGTTTATGGTGAGTACCTGCTTTCCTTCCGGAGTCTGGGATTTTGGTACCTACCAGGCAGAGGCTGCCTACATGACCAGCTGCCAACTCTGGGCACTAGCTGACAAGCTTTCCTGGTAGACAGCATGTCACATGTGTTGTCACAACGTACAGATGGGGGAATGACTTATGCCCTGTGTGACTCCACTGGGACAGGACTCTTAGAAGCTTGTGCCTGTTTCCTCCAGACTTCGCCCCCTGTGCCTTTTCCCTTTGCTGATTTTGCTTAGTATCGTTTCGCCCTAATAGATCATAACTCTGAATGCAGCTACCTGCAGAGTCCTAGGAGTCCTCCTAGTAAATCTTCAAATCTGTGCATGGTCTTGGGAGCCCTCAACACAGGAGCCAAGCCCTGAAGTGAGGGACAAGCTGTGCAGGGCCTGGCATGAGGGGCGGGCATGTGTGACAAGTACAGATGGCAGGAAGGAGACCAGTGTGGCTGGAGCAGAGGGAACTAGCAGGAAAGGGGTAGAAGACATGATCAGAAGGGAAAGAGGGTGATCGACGGGGAGGGCCTGGCGGCCACCATAAGCACTGTGACTGTACCCGCGGTGATGTGGGAAGTCACTGGAGGGTTCTAAGGAGGGGATCTCACTCAGGTTTTGGAAAGGACTGCTCCAGCTGCAGTGTCAAGAATGGCAGAGCAAGAGGAAAAGCCAGGAGACTAGCTAGGGGGCTATTGCAGTAATCCAGGTGAGAGATGTGGCTTAAACAAGTCATAACTAGTTCCTGTCTCAGGGCCCTTCTCTGAAATGCTCCTCTCTGCATCATTAATAGCTAAGCTCCTAGGTCACTTCCTCACGTAGTCTCCCTGACTCTGTATCTGAAGTCACTCCCCGCAACCCACCCACCCAGACCCCCTCTCTCACTTTGTTTTAAGTTTTAAATAGCACTTATCTCTACCTGAAATCCATCTTCTCTGTTTACTGTATGATCCCTCCCTCCTCCACCACTCCCATCAAAATGTAAGCTCCATGAGAGCACAAAGTAGGCATCCAATAAATATTTGATCAACAAAATGAATAAATGAACCAAATGAACCAGTGAGCTAGATGCTGCAGTGGTCTGCTTGGCTGGAATTGTGTGAGGCAACATGGACCTTAGGTCAACACAGATGACTGCCACATTTCAAAAGGCCTCCTTGCCTTCCTTCAGGCTCTCCTTCAAATCATGCTCCGGACTGTTGACAAAGCAGCAATTCCAACATGTCTTATCATGTCTATGTCACTCCCAAGCTCCAAATGCCTTCCTGGCTGCCCAAGGTCTTCAGGAGAAAGTTTAAACTCCTAAGCAATGTACACAGAGCCTTTCATCACGTAGCGCATCCCTTAGTGCTGCGGTCCCCAGCCCAGGCTGCAGAGTTCCACCGCCACCCCCCCAACCCCCACCATCTGTGGAAAAATTGTCTTCCGTGAAACTGGTCCCTGATGCCAAAAAGGTTGGGGACTGCTGCTAGTGTACCTCCTCCTCCTCTACTTCCCTCACTCCATTCTCTGCTGCAACCGTATTGAGGACCCATTTGTAGTTCCCCAAATATTCATGCAGCTTCAGGCCTCCATGACTTCTCCACCTAGAAAGCCTCATCCTTTCCTCCTGCCCCCCATCCCCCACTGCACCCACACTCCTCTGGGGTCAACTCTACCTAAATCACCGTTCAGAGTTCTCCTTCTCCAAAAAACTGCCTCTGTGCTTCTCATGATCAGAGCACCTGCTTTTGCTGCGTGTGTGACCACTTGTCTACTGTCTGCACTATGCTATAGACCCTTGTGGACAAGGACCAGCACTTATTCAACTTAAAACAGGACACGGCCCATCTTAGGTACTTAAGAATAAATGATCATTGTGTAAAACAAAAGGAATAACGATACAGAAATCAAGTGACACAAATCCAGCAGTGGCTAGTTAAAAGAACACAGGGATAAATACCCAGTGCATTTGTTCTCAAGGGCAAAGGCTTGGATACACTGGTCACCACCCTTGAAAGGAGATTAGAATGCTAATTCCTTGGGTAGTGAATTTTGACTGTTTTGTTCACTGGTGTGTCCTCAGAACTTAGAACAGTACTCGGCATGGTAGAAGTTCAGTAAGTATTTGCAGAATAAATGAAAAGAGAGTGAGAGAACCTTCCTAGCACTGCTCAGTCCCTGCAGACTGAACCCAGGAGATGTTCTGTAGCACAGAACTCACTCTACTCCCTGTGTGACAGCAATAATAGCTAATGTGTACCGACAGCTTACTCTGTGCTGGGCACTGTTCTGAATGCTTGGCATTCATTATTTCTTTTACTTACAATAAGCCCTTTGATACAGGTACTGTTTTACAAATGGAAATGGAGGCACAATGGCCCAAGGTGACCCACAGAGGAAAAAGAAGAGCCAGGCTTCAAACCCGGGCAGTCTGGCTCCAGAATCTGGCTCTGACCAACATACACAGAGAAAAAGACTGTGCTTGTTCTGCCTGAGCTCAGAGACCTCATTTGGTGGCTCAAACTTCCCTGACATTAGTAAAATATAGAAACATGAAAATCTGGCAAGAAAGTCTCTGTTGACATTTTTTTTTCAAGTTCAGCTAATTTATTAAGAATAACACAGAGTTGTCTGGGTCCAGGCAAATTCCCCACAGGATACTTCGAAATCGTCCCATGGGGATCATGGCCTGACCTTCATTTGGCATCAGTCTCTCACCCTGCAGAACTGTATTTAAACATTTGAGATGTTAGAGGAAAGATGTAACAGGTCAAAACGGATCTGGAGAAAAGATCCATAAAGACAACTTAGAATCAACCCTGATTCAGCCACTGCGTGGCTAGAACATCACTGTTACAGAAACGAATGGGCAATAATAACAGCTTCTGAGTACTGAAGTCCAACCATGTTTCAGACACTAAGTCCTTACCATGCGTCTAATTCATTTAATCTGCATAGGGACTCTGTGAGGTAGGAATTATTATCCTCGATTTACAGATGAGGGACCATATTCAGAAAGGCTTAGAAACTTGACTGGAATCATACAGGTGGTAGCTGGTAGAGCCAAAATTTGAATCCAGCTCTGTCTGACTGCACAACCTGTGTTCTTGTCACCTCCCAGCCCAGCTAACCTCCCTGCATTGCTATGAAATCCTTCTGGTGCCTACAAAGGAAATTACCTACCTCTAAATTGCAGCTTGTTTTTCAGTTTATATAGTTCCTGCTCAAAATAAATAGTCAACAAAACATCCAAAGTAAAAAAGAAATAATGAGGAAAAAATGACTGAAATATCTAACCACAAGGCCATCTGGCATCTTTCAGATGCTGAAAATTTAAGACTAGATAGTCAAGTTGCAACATGTAATTCAGAAATTTCTATTGTGATAATAGCTTATTTTCCCCCAAGGATTCTACTGCTATGACAGATGAAAGAGAGTGTCTACTGTGGAACAAAATGGTAAGAAAGAGGGGGATGCTACTGTATCAGGGAATCAAGAACGAACCTACAGACAATGCCACAGGAATGGGAGGTATGTATGGGGAGGTGGGCAAGGTAAAACAAGAAAGGCCAAAAGTTAATGGTTGCTGAAATTGAGGGTGGACGCATGGGAGTTCATTATACTAGTCTATCTGCTTCACTGTGTTTGAAAATTTCACACACACACACCCTTAGGATGTTAATGGCCTGGGTTCCTTCCTGGACATAGTAACCTTGGGAGGACAGGTCAAGGCTGAAATCAGGTTGGTTCCCTGACCATGTCCAGGTCTGTTCCCATCACCAAAGATCTCAGCATGCTTCACAGCCAAAACCCTACAGCAAAGTCTGCTTTTGTGGAGGACCTTTTATAACTGGTTGAAGCCATTGTTTCTCAGAATCAGGAAGGAGTGTTCAAAAGATTGCTAAACCGTCAAACTAGAACAAGAGAAAGAACAGGCCCAATTACCACGTGACAGGAGTCTGGTTAGCGAGTGGGCTCCCAGGTTGCCTGTGAGGATGATATCATTGCACAGAATAAGGAAGCTGGCAGCAACCCAGAACCAGTGTGTGGCTATGCTGAGAAGGAAGCTGACCACTGAGTGCCGAGTATAGGACAAACCCCAAGCAGATATCTGGTGGATTATGGCCAGACACCACTTTGTTCCTCTAATACTTCAAGGACAAATGGAAAGACTAACCAAGCCCGAATCATCTGAAGAAACAATGCCCCTTGGGAATTTGAGAGAAGACATATTGAAAAAGGTCTCAGTTAAGATAAGATAGCTTTGTTTGGTTCACCCAAAGGCAGAGGAATAGGTGTACTGTATCCTTTAGAAAGTAAGTTTTAAAACTATAAGCAAGGCACAGGATAAACAAAACCAATCTGCTTGGGTGCTGCAGATCATTTGCAGTGGGCTAGTCCAGCTGGTTCAAGAATTTTGCCCATGAAAGATGAGTCATGGGTTCACAGGGCATTCCTATGTCCCATGACCATAGGTTCCATCCCTAGCTCTGGCCAGCAATTTTTAAAGTATCCATTAAAGGACCACAAGTTCAAGGAGGTGGGCAGAAGAGAATGTGATGCAGGACCCATCACCACTATTCAAAACACAACCCAGAGCTCCTTTCCTGGCTTTCTGTTCTATAGAGAATAAAATCCAAATTCTCCCCAAAGATCTCTGGGGCCCAACGTGACCACCTGGCCTCTGAGCATCTCTCCTACCTCATCTCTTCCCGGCTCCCTGTGCTCCAGCAATTTTCCTTGAACTCACCAACCTCATTCCCACTTTAAGAGCTTTGCACTTGCAGATTCCTCTGCCTTGATGCTATTTCCCCAAATCTTTGCATAACTACACAGATCTCAGATCAAAGGTCACCCTCTCAGAGAGGCCTTTCCTGACCACTTTTGCTAAAGTAGCACCCCAAGCCACTTCCTATTACATCCTGTTTTTTTCTTTATGTCACTGGTCACTATCTAATGTTATTAATTATTTTATTGCTTTTTAATAAACTGTCTCTCTCCAGTAGAAGGTAAGCTCCATGAGAGCAGGGTCTTGACTGTCTGGTTCACCACCATGTCCACAGAACCAGGAATACCTACTGATAGGTCAGTAGGCACTTTTGTGTATATATGAGGGCATTTTTATTGATGAGGCATTTTTTCCTTAACATATGAATCTATACAAGCAAAAATACACAGTATCTATATTTAATAAGGAATTCTTTTGAAAAAATAAAAGTACATAAAATTGGGGCTGTCTTGGTGAATCTAGACATATAGTCATCATTCAATTTTTCAATTGTTGGATAAATGTTTCTGATGACTCATGTGTCTTCAGCACTAGTTTAACTGTCAGATGATCACTGATAATAGCAAGAGTGCTCACCAGGGAAGAAAGAGATTCCTGAGTGAGGATCTGGGTGCACAGTTGGGTTCGTGTGTTCATGCATGTGCAGAAGTACCTCCAGCTCAGAATCTGCAACTGATAGCTGTTAAAGCAGTGTGGTCTTGGTTTACATTTGTTTTGTACCTTTTAGTGCAGGTATGTCTCCAACTGTAATGTATATAATCACCTGGGGATCTTATTAAAATGCAGATTCTGCTTCTAAGGTGGGTCCTGAGATTCTATATTTCTAACAAGCTCTGACTCAGGTGCCATCTATGCTGCTGGCCAGAGGGTCACACTTCAAAAAGCAAATCTCTAGTACTACTAAATTGTCATCTGGGAAACATGCCTTGAGATTAGCTTAGAAAGGAAGTGCTAACCACAAGGAACTTGGTCCCCAAAAGACAAAAACATAGAGAACCTAATTTTTAAAAAGCAGAAAGGAACTTCTCTGGGAAGAAGTAACCTCGTTTTCTTAATTTGTAATAAACCAACTTTGCAAGAACTTAAAATAGAATCACTTCAAAGTGCCGACTTGTGTGTAAATCTGGGAAACTATTTAATTCTGGTATGAGAATTGTAAACTACATCTCCTTAAAAGTTTCATTTTTACACCTCCTGGGGCATGAGAAAGGAGAAAGGTTTGCCAATTCCTTGTAGTAACAGAACTAATGTGGACCAATTTTGCCCTGTCTAACCGTCTTGCTCCAGGCACAAAACTAGTTGTTTTGGGCTTTTTTTTCCTCTGTTTTTCTCTTTTAAAAGTTTCTCTTCTTACCACCAACCAGGCCCCACCACACCATCAGGTCCCAGGGAGGATCTCTAAGCTGATTGGTGAGACTCTGAGATAATTGATCTGGTGGGCAATATACCCATTGTGACCTTCTCACTGGGCTGCTGACCCCATGAGTGGGCAGGGCTGGCCCAGAGTCCTCACCCCACTGGAGCCTCCAACCTTAACTGCATTCTCTGGCAGCTTCAACAGAACGCTGAGATCCTGGCATTATTTGTTATAGTTAATAGTCATGGTTAATGGGCACATCTCCTTGGGGACCTGGGGTTGGGGTAGGGTGATTGAAGGGCAGGATTGGGCATTCCTGTGTCCTTTAGTAACTTTCCAACAGTAATAATGATTGGACAATATGACTTCCTTCCCAGTACACAAAAATGTCAAAAAACAAACCTGGCCTTTTTCCTCCAGTGTTTTGTGTTCCTTAAGCAGTTGCTCCACATGCATCACACTGCCTCCAATGCCTGTAAACTCTGCTTGCTCATCCAGCAAATTGTCCAGGGCAAGCTTCACCTACAAGACACATTAGTACAGTCCAGCAGTAAACCAGCTGGCACTTATCTGGAGGTATAGGTTTGTTACACTTTAAGAAAACTCAAAAATCCAAAAAGGATTCAGGACTTGTATGTTTATCTATATATGTCTTTTTTTTTTTTTAAAGCCCATTAACTTTCAGATTAGGCTGGGGGTGCAAAGACACATGTAGGTGGAAGATGAGAGGTATATTCAACAGCTTAACAATCAAAAAGAAAGATAAACCATCACCAAAATGCCATGCATAACAACAGGAAAATGGGGTTCTAGAACATTGCTACTCCACTGAAAAAGTGAGAAGGGGGCTTCAGGAGGGAGTTCTGTGAAGAAGCACAAGGACATGAGGAAGAAGCCAGTTTAGGGATAAGAGGGGAATCCAACATCAAAGATTTTGAGGGGGAAGAGAAAACCAGAAGTCAATGTGCCAGAAAAGAAAGTTATATTAAACAAGAAAACGATACCTTACAAAAATTGTGCTCAAAGTGCTGTAGTTGTAGGCATTGGTTAAGCTTCAGGTGATGTTCAGACCAAAATTGACTAAAGGCTTTTTCTGTTTCATCCAATTGAACTAACAGTCTTTCAAGGAAGAATGAGAAAGTGATATTACATTAGCATTTATTTCGGCAGGCATCTATACAGGCCTATGTATATGTAACACCTGTGTTTTCAGTCATTGTTATTAATTGTGGCAACCTCCTTATATGAAAGTCTCTGTCACCTATGCCTTTCTAATGGTTCAGCGGGTCCCCACACCTTCCATTTTCCAATCAGGACACCCGCAGTTCAGGCAGAAGCTTCCTTTCAGATACAGCTGCTGCGCTTGTGCCCCAGGTGACCTTACCTTTGTGCCTTCTTTTTTCCACCCAAGACTACATGTGTGTAAAGCACAGCACCAAGCCACACTATTATTTGGAAATGAAACTCGATAAATACTACCATATCCCTTGAAATACTGGGATGGGAGCATATTATATACATATAAGAGGAGGGAATGGAATTCTCATAAAAAGATATCTGTAGGTGGATGCCAGACGGACATGATATTTTTTCCTTTGTTGTTGCAAATATTATTCTTTCTTGGCCCTACCAAGACCCAATAGTAGCTGTTACAATCTGTTTTTGGTTGTTCCACAACATCTAGGACTACATATTCTCTCCTGAAATTGCAGATTCCACTTCACTCACTCACCTTTCCATGGTAACTACATTCTCAAGTTCATTGGGATTGAGTTTGCTGCTGGGATTTATGACAGCTGGTTCTTGGATGCATGACAGCAATGTGGCCCCCTGCCTTCCAAGCAATTTCAGCTCATCCTAGAGAAAGAAAAATATAGTCTCTCTTAGAAGGAATTAGCAAAAACAAATTCTTGGTAGATTTGGGGTGAGGAGAATGGTAGATTAGTATATATTTTTTTAAGAAATTAAATGCTAATGAAGTCAAGATGCAACTTTAAAAAATTAATCAATTAACTTGCCTTTAATAGTTAATACATATACATGATACAAAATTCAAAATAGACAAAAGGTGCCAGCAAGGGAGGAGGATGAAATAAAAAAAAAAGAAAATAGACAAAAGGGTATATACTAGAAAAAAGAAAGTCTTTTGTTCCCTAGCCTGTCCACTTTTCCTCTCCAAAAAGTAACATCTATTTTTTGTGTATCTCAAGCTGCTGTTGTAAACTAAAAGCAAAACTAGTTATTAGTAATAAAATCTGGTTCTAGTCTGAGATAGTGACCAGAAACAAGAAAATGACAGATATTGAATGTCAAGTGCTAGAAACTGCCAAGCAATAATAATGTAATAATTGTTAGTTGACCATGGCTCCTTCCACAAGCCAACCAACTGCAGCCCTGTTCAATTATTAAAGTGTGGCAGAGATAGACAGCAATTTCAGTTTGACATGGAAAGGTTTATACTTCCAAGGCAACTATATTCTGCTCTTTTAACATGGGGACTTAGTGCTTTGTAACTGGGGAAGTCTATTTCCTTCTAAATCCTTAGGAATTCTAGGTTTGGTTCCTGGGTCACAGGATGCTGGTTTTGTATGCCCTTGAGCAAGATTTAATCAAAAGATCATTTCTATGCACACTGAATGAACTATGAACACTGAATGTCTTCCTCTATGCCCACCCACCTCTACAGCCTTCACACAGCTTAAAGCTCATTCCCTGTGGAAAGTGTTTTACACTTCCCCACTCTGTTCATACAGTAGTCCTGGGCCCTCTCAGCCTTATGCCTTTGTTTCCTGTCTCCCATCCCTCTCCAGAATTTCCCCCAGAAGGTTGCATTGTCCATACCGAGCCTCAAACTTGTCCCTGAATGTGGCTGATGATAGACTTGACGTCTCTGAGATAGCCTCTCAGAGTTCTCTGGACACCCCCTCTAGCTCTGTCCACTCCAGGTAATGCTGCAAGTCAGCTATTTGGCTGGCACTCGTGCCCGGGAATTGGATATACCCCTTCTTTTCCACTCTCATGTGTCAGCCCTCATTTCTTCTTATCTCATCAATGCTCGTTAAATATTTGTAGGTTGGATAAATTAATTATAGTCTAAAAGAAATAGTCTAAAAGAAATCAGGTCGCAGATGAATAAAGACAAATCCGACATGACGGTAAAGATGTACTTATGAGTCAAATGTCCTTAGCCTTTCCCTCCTCCCACCCACCGAAGAGGATCCTGGCTTTCCCCACTCAGTTCTTAACTGCTCCTGGGCTTCCAGCAGGATTCTGGCATTACCTGTCTATCTATCTATATGCACTCTTGTGGCGCAGAGTTGGGAAGAAAGGTAGAGAAGCTGAAAGAGAAGAGGTTCGTTGCCAGGGCAGAAGGAGGCATTGGAGGAGAAGCTAGGAAGAGGGGTACACTCAAAGAGCTGCAGAGCGTGAGGAACGTGTGTGGGACAGGGAAGGTGAATCTTCATAAGTGATGTCATGCACTGTGTATCCCCTTCACACTGTTAAAAAAATACAAGCAAAAACAGTGACCTGGTTACTGCTTTGGGACTGAACTGCATGGTCAGCTTGAGTAAGATTACAAAAATGTGCCATAAACACAGAGGAAAAGATGGAGGAACTACGGTGCTTGGAAGGGGTAAAGGTAAGTTGCCCAGCCCCAAAACAGAGTTTCGGTTTCCATGGAAAGAAAATATCCTTAATCATTTGGGGTATTTAATTTTTTTATGGCCAGCACTCAGGCTGGAGGAGGAGCTCAGGGCACTTCTTCCGGAACATGTGTATAAGCTCATGCTTCCTTTCGGAGAGTTTCCTTTCTTTGTGCAGCCAGGGTCCTGCTGTGGCAGGGTGGGAACTACCTGTAAACGGAGAAAGCACCCAAAACACAGCCTCAGAAAATCAAGCCCCCCCTACCCCCCGAAGAAGGATCTAATTGACAAAAGAGACAGAGGTGCCTGTCTGCTTGTCTCATTCACCAGGAACTAACATCTCCCAGAGGAGGCTGACGCTGGTTGTGTGCACAGTACACACACTTCCTTTCTGTCCCTCAAATGAGACAGTGTAATCACAGAGAAAATAAGGCTTCAACTTTTTTTTTTTTTTTTTTTGAGAGAGAGTCTCATTCTGTCGCCCCAGCTAGAGTGCCGTGGTGTCAGCCTAGCTCACAGCAGCCCCAAACTCCTGGGCTCAAGCCATCCTCCTGCCTCAGCCTCCCCAAATAGCTGAGACTACAGGCACGTGCCACCACACCCAGCTAATTTTTTCTATTTTTAGTAGACACAGGGTTTCACTCTTGCTCAGGCTGGGCTCGAACTGCTGACCTCAAGTGACCCTCCTTGGCCTCCCAGAGTGCTAGGATTACAGGTGTGAGCCACCGTGCCCGGCCAAGGCTTCAAATCTTAACATGATACCCAAGTGCCCACAATCTGATTAGACAGACAATAACACATATTGAAGTTGAGAGTACTCTTTGACTGTAAGAATACATTAAGATCCAAACTGTGGCTCAGCCTGAGGGGAAGGAATTTATGTTTCTAGAGAAGAGCTTTCTTTAATGTCATTGGTTTGCTAAAGTGTTTGATAAGGTTATTCTGTAAATGTTTTCAGATTTTTTTTTCTGTGTAAACAGATGGTTTGATATATCAGGGTGGCCTAAAGAAGAGATTCTATTGGAAGATAATTTTGAACATAGTTAACAACTCCATAGGGAATTAGCAAGTGAGGCTGTAAAAACTCTCCAATTCCAAGAATCTACTATTTTGATTGGTTGTAGAGGCAGCCAGGTGCTTATATGGAGATAAGATAAGATAAGATAAGGATCCCCAGGAGAAAGGAAATCAAGAAATCAAGCCAAATCTCATAATGCTGTGCTATTTAGGAAAAAAAAAATTCTCCAGGCTGGGAGAAAACAGTAAACCATATGCTGTAACTTTTATAGATATTTAAATAGATTAAAAAGCTCACTATTCTGAGGAACGAATCTTATACTGGTTTTTCACTTGGAAAAAGTACCTACCATGGAAAAGAAATTATTCAATTACATGTAGAACCTTTGATTAAAAGGTAAATAAAACACTAATATGAGGAAAATATATATAAATAACCACAAAAAAAAAACCTACTGTTGTTAATAAAAGTTTAAACAGTATTCCTTTTTTTCTAATTTAAATCATTTCTCTCTTTAGGGTATCTTTGAATGAGAAAAAGGATAAATGTGACCCTAGTTTAATGATTTTGATATTCTTGACAAGTTACAGGAAAAAAAAAAATCAAATTTGTCTTAGGCCAATAATTAGTACTTAAAAAAGGCCTTACAAAACCCTTTGTATTGTCTTTAAAAGGATGATAATATTATTTTGAAAATAAAGACAGAATAATATTTTAATCCAAATACACATAATATTTTTAATCAAGGTAAACACTTGGACAAATTGTTTTGAGAATTTTTATCGTAAAATAGTTATAGGTCTTCTCCATGATTTTAGGGCAGCCTGGAATATAAATGCAAGCACGCAGTTTAGTTTATGCAAGATTGCATTTATTTTCTTACTAAAAGGCTGATTAAATGGAAACTCCTAAACTCTTTTCACTCGTCTTACAGGTTAGATAGGAATGTTTCACCAAATTGAGATATAATATTTAGATTGTAAAATTCCTTCTTATAAATGTCAAATAATACTTCAAATTATGTGGATGTACAAAGTTTCTCTACTTTAAAATGTGAGACAAGTTTTAGCTTTCTTTGTCCAGAGTTGCTTGTTTTAACTCTGAGAATAGATGGTTTCCACGCATAAGAAAATGCTCTTCCTCCATCTTGGAGACTGGCTCTTTCCTGCCCCTGGTCCTCTGTAGAACTCTGCCTATGCAGAAATCATAGAAATTATACACTCACTCATTTGCTTTTCCTGAGGCACCCTCACTGCACATATAGGGCAGGGCCTGATGGCTGATTTCCATGTCCCAGATATGTGTTCCTGTCTAAAACCCTAAATTTTTACCCTTTTCCCCAGAGACCTTTCTGACTGGGCACATTGCCATCTTGTGCTTCTGCTCCGCACCCTCTCCAAACCCTTCCTGGACTGAGGCAGAGAATGCACCGTGTTCACGAGCCTGGGCACTGAGCGTAGTCTCACAGGCCCTGCCCTGCTAGGCATCCTTCCAGCATGCTCGCTGGTACTAAGAGACTGCTCTGCAAACTACTCCTACTGGCCAGTGACAACCTTTTGGCCTTTGCAACCGCAAACCCCTTTGTAGCAGACTTCACACAGGCACCCAGATCCTGCTCTCTGCAACCTGTGCCTCCCAGGAATCAGGAGGGATGAGCCCGGCCAATATGTTTGGAAACGAAAAGGTCAAGCTTCTCAGAGACATTTTCAGGGAAAATTTCCAGGATGTTGGCAGGATTTCACAATTTCAGTCCAGATTGTTTGATTACTCAGAGTAATCTTGGGCATGTATTTGGAACGCTTTTTGGATAACAACCTACTTAAAGACAGAATTTAACAATGCTCCTTGGCACATGGAAAATTTAATTTGCCTCAACTACTAGATTCTGAGACCCACCTAACTGGATTACCTGTTCTTGAGGTTGCACTCCTGGTTTTCCTGGCACGTGATGGTAAATACTCATACATGTTGAATAAGTGAACAAATGCCATCTAGCAAAGCATTTTTGCGAATTTTGGGTCCCAGATAAAACAGTTCAGCTCTTCCCAAGTTCCATGCAGCAAGGACACATACCCCGACTGTCCACTTTTGGGTTTGCTGCCCTACTGAAACTGGTATTCTGTGAAATAATGGATTCCGTCTGTCTGTGCTTCTCAAGGCAGAAAGGTGCTGACATGCGTCCAGTGAGCAGCCCCAGGGATGCTCCCCTTTGCTGCAGGATTGAAGGAACCTGCCAAGCTCTGCTCTCAGCAGGTTCTAACATGCTTTTATTAATCATTTAATAGGCACCTATCCCTAAGCCCAGTTCAGAGCAGACTTCCATAGTTCTTTTTCTCAAACTAGTCCCTGAATAAAAAGACACAACCCTGAGAATGTGAAGCAATAAGTCAGTTTATAAGTCTGCCTCAAAACTTTACAACTGCTGTAGAGCTTGTACTTCAAAAGCCAACCCCTCTGCCTGCAACTTCAACACATTGTGTCTTGCTCTGTCCTGAGCAGGATCACAGGAGTGCAGCCCTTGACATTGTGCTCACACGCCTCATCCCACCAGCACACACCTGGAAGGAATTTCCCTTCCCTGGGTTGCTTCCCATAGGCACCACCCCATCTCAAGAGACTTTTCTCTCCACAAACTGCCTATCTGGAAGGTTTAATATGGTCAGTAGCTGCCAAGTCACTGGAGAAGAAAGAAGAGGGCTTAACTTTTAATTCTGCTCCTGGCTCTCTCCAAGAGGCAGACCCACCTGCTGGCACAGAGGCTAGCCATGAGAGGCCACAGACCACTCACCTGCAGCTTGTCCCGCTGCCTTATGTGGGACATGAGAAGGTCTTCGGTGGATAGCACGCCTCTGGGCAGCTCTGTCGAGGCCAGGCAGGCCCCAAACGTCTGCAGCATTTGGGCAGTGGCCTTCAATGTCAAGGCAAAGTTTTCGATGGCCTGGAAGGTCAGACAATCACAGCAATGTGGACAGATTAACATTCACCAATATGTTCTCTCGATGGAAAGACAACAGAATTAGCTACCATTTCCTGAGTATCTGCGAAGGGCCACACACTGTACTTGATGCTGCACATTTGTCTATCATCTAAATAATCTAGAGTGGGAGATATCTTATCTCCACTTTATAGAGGAGGTAACTGAAGCCCCAACAGGTTAAGTGAGTTGCCCAAGATCATATTGCTTGTGCAGTAAAAAAGGAAGGCAGGCAGGATTCAACCAAGGTCAGCTGTTTCAAGTTCATTCCCCTAACAAGTGCCAGCATTAAGTTTGACTCAGGATTACCACTAGGCAAAATACTGAAAAGGGCAGAACCACCCACCCATTGCTCTAACAAACCTTTCCTTCTCTTGTAGCTCCTACACTACTCTCTCCCCTCACACATACCCCCATCTGCCTGACACCACTGAGAAGCTTGTCCAATGCTGCTGAGAGCACATGACAACGGCGGAGGAAGATGGATGGAGTGATTAGGTCACTAGTAACCCCTAAGAGTCATTTCTCTCAGATGTGGGGAGGGGTTGGGGATTTCTTCCTCTTACATCTCCTGTGTAAAAATTTGCCTGTCCTGTGTCCCTTCCACTAAGGACCCTACTCTGCCATTAATACCCGCTAATATCCCAGGTGAGAAATCTGCATTTTAGCAGAGTGCTTTGGGAAACACATGGCCTAGCCTAAAAAAAGTGATGCTGCCCATCAGAGGAGTTGGTTGCAGGCGTGTAGCTTTTCAGAGTTCTGCAAATCATTCCGCTGCCAGCTAGGCACTGCCATGCCCACTTTCTCTGCTCCTGAGACAATATTGTCCCTGAAGAGCAAGCACCATGTGACACTCATCTCTGCAGCCCCAAGGCATGGTACTGTGCCTGTCACATGGCCGGTGGCCCACAGACCACTGCTGAATGGAAGAAGCAAAGAGGCCCAACCCAATTTTCATTTGGAAAGAAAGGACCTCTGTTCCTACTTCATCAGAGAACATTTCTGAAAACTCAAACCCACATCATAAAGAATGTGCCAAATCTGACAGGGCCATTCTTTGAGCCAGAGGCTGGGGCTGAGACTGGCATGATGAGGCTTCCAGAGCACTGCATACTTCCCCTGCTGTCTGAACCCAAAGTCTTCTCTACTTCAGCCATTGTCATGCTTGTGGCACTGCTGTAGGAGGAATCTCCTTATTAGCACAAGCATTTGTACAGCCACAACCTTGAACATCAGAGAACTTTTGGCCTGGAAAGTCAGACAAATGCTATTAATAACTTTTATAAAAATCTTTCTTTCAAGTACATCAAGTTTTATTATGTTTATATAATCTAACATCTGCATAAAACCCTCAGTGAACTGCATTCACTAATGGCCTATGATGAATAATATATAAAGAAAATCCAACCAGGCACAGTGGCTCATGCCTATAATCCCAGCACTTAGGGAGGCAGAGGTAGGAGGATCACTTGAAGCCAGAAGTTCAGGACCAGCCTGGGCAACATAGTTGAGATCCTAACTCTACAAAAAATAATAAAAATTATCCAGGTGTGGTGGCACATATCTGTAGTCCCAGCTACTTGGAAGGCTGAGGCCAGGAGTTTGAGGTTGCAGTGAGCTATGATCATGCCACTGCACTCTAGCCTGGGGGACAGAGCAAAATTCTGTCAAAAGAAAAGGGAAGGGAAGGGAAGGGGGAAAGGGGAGGGGAAAAGGGAAAAGAAAAAAGAGAGAGAGAGAGAAAGAAAGAGAGAAAGAGAAAAAAGAGAGAGAGAGCGGGGAGGAAGGGAGAAGGAGGGGGAAGGGAAAGGAAAGGAAAGAAGAAAGAAGGAAGGAAGGAAGGAAATCCAATATATCAGGAGAATTGTAAGAAAATATAAGATTATGATGTATGTTGCTTTATAGGCACTGTCTCTTCTAGTGCATCTCAGGTGTTGTCATCATCACCCCACAGTCTATAGATGAGGAAACTGAGGCATATTAAGTAATTTCCCCAAGGTCACATAAAAAATAAGTGGCAGAACTGGGATTGAAGCCAGGTAATCGGGCTCCTGGGCCACACTCTTCAGCACTACACTATGTCACCTCCTGGCAGTTAAAACTGTATTTAGCAAAACTAGATTTAAAACAAGATCAACAGAAGACCTTGAACTCGAGAGCTGAAGGCTTGAATTAGAGTCCAGATCCTGATCCCCTCTAACGACGTGATCTCGGGTAAGCCATACAATGCTGTTGAATCCCAGTGTACTCATTTGGAAAATAGGATAATGCTTGCTGTTTTGCAGGGTTTTTCTTTTGTTTTGTTTTTGCTTGTGTTTGTTTTTTAGGATCAAAAGGAATAGCAAATGTGAAAGGATCTTGGAGACAGTAGAGTACCTTATAAGTATAATAGTAATAACAGTAACAACTCAGAGTGTTGGATGTGAGGCCTGCAAATGTCATCCTGGAAATAGAGGAAAGCCAGCACTTTCCCAGGGAGGTCACCTATTAACAAGTTAACTTGATCCCATGTGTCAATCACTTTGGTGAGTAATCACTTTGGCAATGGTATGGAGGACCTGATTCTGATAGGGTGTTTACAAAGAGCTTGGCCTTGGTCTTGGCTTTGCCACTACCTGACCATATGACCTCGGATAAGTTACCCCTTTACACAGAAAGTCATTTTATTTATCTATAAAATAAGGTGTTTGAAGTAAATGATCTTTAAGGTTTTTTTCAAGTTCTAACTTTCTATGAGTCTCTCATTCAAAGATCTGACATCCAGAAAATACACTGTAACAAAAGAACAGAATCTATATATCTTACCCATAAGATATAAAACAATATGTACTGTATGTGTGTGGTTATGTTAAATTGTATTATTCCTAATTATATACACAGGCATAACTCAGAGATATTGTGGGTTTGGTTCCAGACCACTACAATAAAGCAAATACCACAATAAAGTGAATTACACAATTTTTGTACATATAAAAGTTATGTATACACTGTATTGTAGTCTATTAAGTATGCAATAGCATTAAGTCTAAAAAATGTACATGTCTTAATTAAAAAATGCTTTACACCCGAAGGATGGACATATTTGAAACTCGGACTTAGAGGGGGAGGGGTGGGGCAAGGGCAACATATGTAACCTAAACATCTGTACCCCCATAATATGCTGAAATAAAAAAAAATGCTTTATTGCTAAAAATTGCTAGCAATCATCTGAGCCTTCAGAGAGTCATAATCTTTTTGCTGGTGGAAGGTCTTGCCTCGTTGCTGATGGCTGCTGACTGATCAAGGTAGTGGTTGCCAAAAGTTGGCGTAGCTGTGGCAACTTCTTAAAATAAGACAACAATGAAGTCTGCCATACTTCCTCTCATGAAAGATTTTTCTGTAGCATGTGATGCTATTTGATAGCATTTTACTCACACTAGAACTTCCCCCAATATTGGAATGAATCCTCTCAAACCCTGCTGCTGCTTTATCAACTAAGTTTATGTAATATTCTGTGTCCTTGGTTGTCATTTCAACAATATTCACAACATCTTCACTAGGAAGATGAAGAAACCACTTTCTTTGCTCATCCAGAAGAATCAACTCCTCATTCCTTCAAGTTTTATTGTGAGATTGCAGCAATTCAATCACATCTTCAGGCTCCACTTCTAGTTCTCTTTCTATTTCCATCATATCTACAGTGACTTCCTCTGCTGAAGTCATGAACCCCTCAAAGTTATCCATGAGGTTGGAATCAACTTCTTCCAAACTCCTGTTAATATTGATATTTTGACTTCCTCCCATAAATCACGAATGTTCTTAATGGCACCTAGAATGGTGAATCCTTCCCTGAAGGTTTTCCATTTACTTTGTGAGACCCATCAGAGGAATCACTATCTATGGCAATATATTTGTTCAATAATAAGACTTGAAAGTTGAAATTACTCCTTGCAGTATGGATATTGTGCTTGCAGGCATGAAAACAGCATTCGTTTTCTTGTACATCTCCATCAGAGTCCTTGGATGACTAGGTGCACTGTTAATGAGCAGAAATATTTTGAAAGGAATCTTTTTTTTTTTTTTCTGAGCAGTAGGTCTCAAAAGTGGGCTTAAAATATTCAGTAAACCATGCTATAAAAGATGTTCTGTCACCCAGACTTTGCTGTTCCATTTACAGAGCACAGGCAGAGTAAATTTAGCATCATTCTTAAGGGTCCTAGGATTTTCAGAATGGTAAATGAGCATTGGCTTCAACTTAAAGTCACCAGCTGCATTAGCCTCCACCAAGAGAGCAAGCCTGTCCTTTGAAGCTTTGAAGCTAAGTAATGACTTCTCCTCTCTGGTTATGAAAGTCCTAGATGGCATCTTCTTCCAATAGAAGCTTGTTTTGTCTCCACTGAAAATCTGTTGTTTAGAGTAGTCACCTTCATCGATGATCTTAGCTAGGTCTTCGGGATAACTTGCTGCAGCTTCTACACCAGCACTTGCTCCTTCACCTTGCACTGTTATGTTACAGAGAGGGCTTCTTTCCTTAAACCTCATGAACCAGCCTCTGCTAGCTTCATACTTTTTTTCTGCAGCTTCCTCACTTCAGCATTCTTCGAATTGAAGAGAGTTAGGGCCTTGCTCTGGATTAGGCTTTGGCTTAAGGGAATGTTGTGACTGGTTTGATCTCCTGTCCAGACCACTAAAACTTTCTCTATATTGGCAATAAGGCTATTTTACTTTCTTATCATTTGTGTGTTCACTGGAGTAGCACTTTTAATTTCCTTCCAGAATTTTCCCTTTGCATTTACAACTTAGCTAATTGTTTGGCACAAGAGGCCTAGCTTTCAGCGTTTCTCAGCTTTCAACATGCCTTCTGAGCTAAGCTTAATCATTTCTAGCTTTTGATTTAAAGTGACAGGCATCATGTTCTTCCTTTTACTTGAACACTTAGAGGCCATTATAGGGTTATTATTTGGCGTAATTTCAATTTTGTGTCTCAGGGACTAGGGAGGCCCAAGGAGACGGAGGGAGAGAGGGGAATGCCTGGTTGATGCAGCAGTCAAAACACACACAAGTTATCTATTAAGTTCACTTAATAGAGAACTTATATGGGCATGGTTCTCGGCACCCCAAAACAATTACAATAGTAGTATCAAAGATCACTGATCATGGATCACCATTACAAATATAATAATAATGAAAAAGTTCAAAATATTGCTAGAATTACCAAAATGTGACAGAGACACAAAGTAAGCACATGCTGTTGGAAAAGTGGTGCTGATAGACTTGTTTTAGGCATGGTTGTCACAAAAACTTCAATTTGTAAAACATTCAGTATCTGCAAAGCACAATAAAGTATAATGAGATATGCCTGTATGTACATGTGTATAAAATATATACATATATTTTGTAAATGACATGTAAAGAATATCTCTGATCTTTCGATACTAGTTGTTTTTTTGTTTTGGGGTGTTGGTTTGTTTGAGACAGGTTCTCGCTCTGTCACCTGGGCTAGAATGCAGTGGTGTCATCATAGCTCACTGCAAACTCAAACTCCTGGGTTCAAACGATCCTCCTGCCTCAGCCTCCTGAGTAGCTGGGACTCTGGGCATACACCATCATGCCTAGCTAATTTTTAAAATTCTTATAGAGATGGGATCTCGCTATGTTGCTCAGGCTGGTCTTGAATTCCTGGCCTCAGGCGACACTTCTGCCTCAGCTTCCCAAAGTGCTAGGATTATAGGCATGAGCCACCATGCCCAGCCACTAGTTGAATTTTTTAAAGTTCACTATCATGTGTGTAATACATGTACAACCACAAAAAAAGCCTATAAGACAGGCCTATAACAAAAATACTTAGACTAGGTAATTTATAAACAACAGAAATGTATTTCTGATACTTCTGGAGTCTGAGAAGTCCAGATCTGGTATCTGGTAAGGATCTATTCCTCACAGATGGTGCCTTCTCTGTGTCCTCACATGGCAGAAGGAACATGGCAACTCCCTTCAACCTCTTTATAAGGGCACTAAATCCATTTATGATGGCACAGCCTTCATGACTTAATCACGTCCCCAAAGGCCCACCTCCTAATCTTATCACATTGAATTCCAATACATGAATTCTGGGGAAACACCAACGTTCAAACTACCGCAGTGAGTTTCGATCTCACTTTTTTGTCAATATTACCAGACTTCCAGTTTAGCATAATCACCACCAATGTGATTAAGAAGGAAAAAGTAAAATATCAGGTACTTTCACAGACAATGTATCACTTATTCCCCATATCAAACTTTCAGGTAGCTTTTGTTAGTACTAGGTTTCTCAGCATTGTCACTATTCATACTTTGGGCCAGACAATTCTTTGCTGTGCAAAGTGGTCTTGGGCATTCTAAGATGTTTAGCAGAGGCCCTGGCCTCTACCCACTAGATGCTGGTACCTACCTCCAAGTTATGACTATAAAAAATGTCTAAAGACATTGACATATGTCCTCTGAGGGGCAAAATTATCCCCAGGAGAGAACCACTGTGTTAATCTCATTTTAACAGAGGAGGAAACAAGCTCAGAGAGGCTTAGTAACTCACCCAAGGTCATACCATAAGTCATGGTGACAATATTTAAATGTAGCTTTTTCTTACTTCATGGGTTTCAATCTTTCTCCACATTAGAATCATCTGGGGGGTTTTATGAAACGCTAATGTCTGAGACCCATTCAAGACCAAATAACTTAATGTTTTTGAAAACTCCCCAGGTTCACTCTAAGTCAAGTCTCCCCAAAACCCCATACCAGAAGATGCAGTGAGGTAAGGTGGTCAACAGGAGGAACCTCAGCCTTTACCTTTCCACACTCCTCCTTTCCCAGCCTGTGGCTTAGTAATCCCAACCTTCCCGAGGTTAGGACATCATGGGGTGACCTCTCAACAGTTGGTCTTTAACCCCCCTGTCTTCTGGACAATAAGGAGAGACAGTGAAATGTGCACATAAGTTGGTACTCACAGTGCGATGATTTATCCACTGACTATGGCAATATTCCAAAGTCCCCCCTAACTCCTGTGTCAGTTGGCTTTTGTCAATGTAGCCATGAAGGTCAGAAACAGAATTTAACAAGATGATCTGTAAGGGGGAAAGAAAATTAAATATATTCCTCAAAGATCATTAAATAGTAGCTCATCTAGATTCTACTATTACTTAAATAATACTTTGACTTTGCCTTACCAGGCATTTATATTTAAAGATGTTTTCTATATCCAGTAGAGAAATATTTTACAGTCTCTTTCCACTTCTCCCTTTTGAACAAGAAATACCAAAGTGTTGTACAGTCTGTGACAAAATGTTGACTTGGATCAGGAAGCATGGATCCAGGTTACCTAAAAGTCAGGTCTCGCGTGAGCTGAATTTTTGCCAAAAGTTCCCAGGCTAAGGTATAGTCCTCAGCCACCAAAATCACATGCTGTGCTGAGGCCTAAAAATCTGCAGAGAGAAGCCCAATAAAGGGTGGTCTGGTGAATATAAAAATAAAATTGGAATACAGGGAGACAGACAGAGTTTATATTGAAAAGATTCACTACACTAATGCTCCCCCACGAAGAATGCTGTGTGCCCCCAATTTATCTTGCACAGGGGAGGCCTGGATGTAACAATCCTGCTGATGAACGGACACCCATACATCTAGAGGAAGCTGACACCTCCCAAATCGTTCCTTTCTATCCATCTGCAGCAGTCCTGGCCTGGGTGTGGCTCTGGCTCTCAGACTCAGGGACCATCTAACACCCACTACTCAATCCTAACTGGGGACAAGGACTCTGCACTCCAATCTCTGAAACATATCCCCCTTGATATTATATTTCTTCACTCCTTGTTGATTATTTTGAAAATTGATTCTTGGTCAGAGGATATAAAAACATAGACTTTCTTCAATTATTACATAGTATTAGTCAAGTGATAAATCCACTGTGGAATGAGAAGAATATATAAATTAGGGCCCAAAGTCTATAGGCAAAAACAAAATTATACAACAAAACTGATTTATTCTTTCAACAGATATGCACTGAACTGCTAATAAATGCCAAGCACCGGGGGATAAAATAGTGAGCCTGCTGGGCCCTGCCCTCGAGCAACGTAGGTCCAGTGGAGTCTGATTACTAACTGTCACCATCCTAACCTTGTCGGGCCCCACGCCTTGCTCCTTCGCTTCTGAAAACAGTTTGGGACTTTGAAAATTATTTTTATAACATGAGAGAAAAAAAAACACTTCAATCCATCTGTGCCTTTCTTGCCTAAAAATTTTAAACTACTTTTGGGAGTTTCAAAAAGGTTTTTAGTCTTTCTAAAATTAGAAATTATAGGACAGGTAATAAATTATCAAGTTATTTTAATAAAAATGTATTTTGCTTCTTGAAACATTAGTTCTTGTGGTAATACTTGAAATTTTTAAAAAATACCAATGTGCAACATCATATCAGGCAGGAGTAACTTTGCCCCAAGCCCTGGCATTTCAGAAACTTACTCTGCCAGCCTGCATATTTTCTATTCCATTTAACTAAATAATTATAGTATAATATCAACCAGGAATTTGATACATTTGTAACATGGGAGTGTAGTTCTACGTCATTCCTCCCCACCCCATGTGTTGGCACAATCAACACGCAGAACTATTCCATCACCACAAAGATCTCCCCCGAACTGCCACTTTCCCCACTCCTACCATCCCTGAACCCTGGCAAACGCTAATCTGATTTTTTACAAAGCTGTAAAAACAATTCAATGGAAGAATAATTCTATTGACAACAAATGGTGCTGGAAAAACTGGACATTCACATGCAAAAAAAGGAACCTGGAGCCATACTTGTGAAAGTTGCCAGAATTAAGATGGAGTCACTAATGTTAAAAACAAACAAACAAACAAAAAAACAACCTAACAAATAGAACCAGGGATATAATCGAGTTCAAGCTTATGCCATTCACCACAGGACAGCCAATAAGTTGAGAGACAAGGTGTTGGGGCAAGGAAAGCAGCTTTTACTTGGAGAGCCAGCAAATCAAGTAGATGGTGGGCTAATGTCCTAAAGAACCATCTTAAGTTAGTATGACCTGTAGGTTCCTCTTTATGTTAAGGGAAGGGGACGGGGAGAGGGTTTGCAAGAGGTAAGCGAGCACTGCAGACTTCCGGGCGTCAGTGAGGGTCTAAGGAGGTAGTAAAATTTCTTTGCTCTTGGTCAGTTAACTTTGGATGGGTAGGTCAGGTTGCTGATCTACTTCCTGTAACTCTTTAACATAGCATTGTTACTTGTGTGCAGACTTTCTTTGTCTCCCCTGGAATTAGTTTTGGGAAAGGGATGGTTATCATTTTTCTTCTACAAACTAAATTCTTCCTATAATTAGCTGGTCTGTGTGCAGAGCTAAGCAGAAGCTTTTAATCTAAAGGATATTACTGCAGGAGGTCAAGAGCAAAATGGAGCTAGTCATGCTAAGCCTCCCTTCCGCTGTTACAGGGAAGGCTATGAAGAGAGGGTTCTCACCCTTGTATGCCTAACAACAAAACTATGACAAAAGACTGCAAAACCCACAACCTTGAGCAAAGGTTATTGAACCCTACATAAAAAAATACTTCTGGGAGGACATCTGTCCAGCAACTCCCTGTCCAACCTTGGACTGGCATCACCCTTGTTATTGATCCTCGTAGCCAAGGATAATTATCTCAAAACAGTTATGTAATCCTCCTCATTTTTCCTTTAAAAATCTGTCTCCTTTTACGTCTCTGAGTACAATGGCACACTATTTCCATTGTGATGTCCTGTTCCTGAATAAATATCCTTCTCTTTTAGAGAACCTCTCTGTTATTTAGATTGACACACCTCACATCTATACAAAAATTAACTCAAAATGGTTCACAAATATAAATGTAAAGCATAAAACTTGGAAGAGAATTTAGACAAAAATTGTGATATAATAAAAAAGTTTATTTGGCTTTTATCCCTCATTCCTTGGCACAGAGCTCCTGACATCCTCATAATTTCCTGAGAGACAGGAGTATCTTTTGTTATTCATAATGAGCCTGTTTTTGTCACACCAGAGTTTATGCTAATAAAGTGACTCAGGGCGGGAAAACTAGATAGCCACAGGATGGGCTGGTTACCAGGAAGACCAAGTGATTATAAGTGATAAGTGATTATAAGTTTCAGACCCACCATTTCCAGGTTGGTGAACAGACCAAGGTGCTGGGTGGGTGGCACACCTAGAGAGAGCATAGACACTCCATGCCTCCCCACACACACCTTGCCCTATGCATCTCTCTCTCTTTTTTTTTTTTTTTTGGCTGTTCTGAGTTGTATCCTTTATAATAAACCAATAAACATAAGTAAAGTGTTTCCCCTTAGTTCTGCAAATCACTCTAGAACCCAAGGAGGGGTCTGTGGGAACCCCCCAATTTATAGCCAGTAGGTCAGAAGTACAGGAGGCCCAGACTTATTGGCATCTGAAGTGGGGACAGTCTTGTGGAACTGACACATTAATTTGTGGGATCTTATGCTAAATTCAGTGTCTGAATTGAACTAAATTGATTGAACTAAACTGTAGAACACCAGGATTATGTCCAGAGAGTTGGAGAATTGCTTGGTGTGGAATAAAATCATACCATACATTAAGTGTCAGAAATGCTGTGTGAGTAGAGAAAGTGTTTTTCCAGAAAAATCTTAGGTGAAATCTTTAGGTTAGGCAAAAGTTCTGAGATATGACACCAAAAGGCAAAAGAGTTCTGAGATATGATAAATTAGATTTCATCCAAATTAAAAACACTTGCTCTACAGAAGACATTGTTAAAAGAATGAAGATACAATCTACAAACTAGAAGAAAACATTTGCAAGTCATCTGACAATGACTCATACCCAGAATACATAAAGAACTCTCAAAACTCAACAATAAGGAAACAACCCAGTTAAAAATGGATTTCGACAGTAGCTTCACCAAAGAAGATATACAGATGGAAAATAAATACATGAAAAGAAGTTCAATATCGTTGGTCATTAGGGAACTGCAAATTAAAACCACAGGGAGATAACATAACACACCTACTAGAATGGCCAAAAAAAATTTTTTTAAATTACCCTGTTTTTGGCAAGTTGGCAAAACTATGGAGCAGCTGGAATTCTCACGCATTGCTGATGGCAATGCAAAGAGGTAGAGCCACTTTGCAAAACAGTTTGGCAGTTTCTTATAAAGTTAAACATATACCTATTTAATACTATATGGCCCAGCAAAAATCTGTACGTGAATGTTTATATCAGCTTTATCCTTAATTGCTAAAAACTAGAAACAACTCAAATGTTCTTTCCTGGTGATTGGATAAACTGGTACTTCTATAACATGAAAGAATATTCAGTAATAAAAGGAAAGAACTAGTAATACATCCAGCAACGTGGATAAAACCCAAATCTTTTGTGCAAAGTGACAGAAGTCAGATTCAAAGGCTACTTAGTATATCTAGTCATGCATCACTTAATGACAGAGATAAGTTCTGAGAAATGTATTTTAGTCAATTTCGTCAGTGTGCAAACATCATGGAGTGTACTTACACAAACCTAGGTGGTATAGCCTACTATATGCTTAGGCCATATGGCATAGCCTATTGCTCCTAGGCTACAAATCTGTATAGCATGTTACTATACAGAATACCATAGGCAATTGGAACACAATGGCAAGTATTTGTGGATCTAAACATAGAAAAGGTACAGTAAAAATACAGTATTATAATCCTATGGGACCACCATTGCATATGTGATCTGTTTTAACCAAAACATCCTTATGCAGTGCATGATTGGAATTCCATGTGTATGATTCTCGGGAAAAGGCAAAACTGTAGAGATAGAGGGCAGATCGGTGGCTGCCAGGGGTAAGGGCTGGGAAGAGGGGTTGACTATGAAGGGGCAGCATGTGGAAGTTTTCAGGGGATGGAATCATTCTGTATTTGACTGTAGTGGTGATTAAATAAATCCATGCATTTGTCAAAACCCATAAAACTGTACACAAAAAGAGTGAATCGCATGTAATTTCAAAAATGAAGGAAAGGCAGTTTTGCCACAAAATCTTTTCCCCTCTTTTAATCTTTACAGAATAAAGCTTTTTAAAAGGTTTTAAAATTCTACATATTAGTAGGAAAGGGAAAAAGCAGAATAATTTTGCTTGTCAAACTCACAGGACACACAGCATATAAAACTGGCCTTAAAATAATTATTGTTCTGTGTTTTCTTAGATTCTGTATTTGTCTATTTGGCATCCTTTCATCACAGGGTAAATTATTATTTCTATATTTTCTATATTCTGGATACACTTGTACCCATGGTCTCATGACTGGGGAGACATTGGCCCTGCCAGGGCTGGCCACTTAGAGACAGCAGAGGGCCAAGGTGGGAGCACAACAACCAACCTCAAGTCCAAGTCCCCAACCTTCCCTGGATCCCTGGTGCTTAATGAATAAAATCCAGACCTTGTATCCTCACATTGAAGACCTATTCCATGTTTCCTACCTCACTTCTAAAAGATTACCCTCTACGTACTCCAACAAAAATGTGTCTTCCCACGGATCTCGTATCAAATGTGCACTTCCTGCCTCTACACGTGCTGTTCCGTCAGCCCAGAACACCCTCCTTTCTCTCTCCGTCTGTTGAATCCGATTTTTCTTAGAAACCCTGCTCAAATGCCATCTTCTCCATATGCCCTAGCCAAGTGGAGATAAGATGAAAGATAAGATGAAAGGTCATGCTTACCGGCACTTTCATTTTAAATTCATCTCGATAGTATTTAATGCCAATATCAGTGAATGTCCTCTGGATAAAGCAGGATGGACGAAGGATGAATATGAGCTGTAAATTTCCTGGAAATGCCACCTGGAAGGATCATGAAAAGTGTCAGAGCGGGATGAGAGAAAACATCATGTCCATTATCACAGTCTACTTTGGTCTCCTCTTGCCCAAGATTACAGAAGAAAAATTTAAAGTGGACACCACGGATGTAGATTTCACAGGATTTCAGAGCTAAAAGAGACCTCAGAGATCAGATAATCAATCAGAATCCCTTCTGAAAAACCAAAGCAAACCAAATAAGCAGAAAAATTTTCTGATTATAAAAATAATTAATATTCTTTATAGAAAAATTGGAAAATTAATAAAAGTATATATTAGAAAAAGAAAACTCACCTATGATCTCATAGCCATAATAAGTATTTCAATTTATTTACTTATAGGCTGTTTTCTTTGTTTAAATGTCTTTATCATGGTTAAATCATACTGTGGAAATACTTTGTAACCTGCCTTTTTACTTAACATCATACCATGGGCTTGTATTCCTGTTATTAATAAATTCTTTGGAAATATTATTTTTATGGGTGCACAATTTATTTAACCAATCCTTTTTTGGGATTGCTAGTCATTTAGGCTTTTTAATAATTTTACTATTATAAATAACTCTGACATTAACACCTTTATCACATTTTGGAATATTTTCTTAGGATAGATTTCTAGAAGAATTACTGAGTCAAAGGATTAGTATATCAAGCAATTTGATGCATATTATTGTCAAGTTGCTTTCAGAAAGTATTGCCCTCATCTTGAGGTGAGGTCCTGAGCAAAGATCACCCAGATTCATACAACTCTTCATTGGTACATTTAGGAACCCTAGTCTCCATGGGAACTGCCCATGGCTTTCCACTCTTCCAGAGATTTCCCAAAACAACCTCCTAAGTTGTTTAGTTTTTTAAAAAAATCTGGTCTTTACTCCAGACTATTATGACTCATTAGGATTAGGATGAAATCTAGGTATCTATATTTTCAACAAGCACTTGCAAAGATTCTGATAGATTTTGAGATTCTTGCACTACAGCATCTTTTGCACATAAAGTGATAAATGTAACTCTGGGACAAATGAGGCTCAAATATTGTATTATGCAAGTATTGTCTATGAATCCTGGAAAACCAGAACACTCTAGAAGCCAGACCACTGGTATAGTCATGGGCATCAACCATGGTTGCAATTATCCCAAAGATAAATCCTGTAACCAAAATTAAATTAAAGGGACCAATCTATGCAGAAACAGAAGGGAGTATTCCCTTCTCCCATCTTTGAAATGCAAGCTCCTAAACAGAAGAACCTTGCATTTTGTTATGTCATGCCAGAATAAATCAGCTGAGACACAATTAGTGAATCTGGATGGGGCTCTAAAGTGATCTAAGAGGGATTGTGTGTGTGTGTGTGTGTGTGTGTGTGTGTGTGTGTGCAGGTCTGTATGCGTGACTGCTTCTGTAAGTGGATATAAGTGAGTGTGTGTTCAGGTAAAAATGCTGATGTGCTGGCCCTCAGGAGTCTCTGCTTGACCATGTGGCTGCGTTCACAGGTCTGAGGTCCCTACAGAGGGCAAATACACCTACTTGGTGAAAGGCAACAGAGATCAAAGTCAGACTAATAAGGAAAAGGAAGCCCATCCAAGATTGTACAATTTAATGCCAAATGTAAGCATACCTCCAATCAAGCTAATTAAATACCATTCTGTCTGGTTTTGCCATTGTCTTTCTAATCTGCGAAAAAAATAATTTGAATACTGAAATAAAGACTGTCTTAAATTGGGTTGCCCCTCAAAGCAAACCCTCAGGACAAAGATTTGGGTACAAGTTTTTAATAGTTTGTTGGGGAGGTGATTCCAGGAAACACAATGAGAAAGACAGTAAGGAACAGAGAGCCAATGTATCAATTAGGGGGTTATTGCTATAAGCAAAAGGGGATGAGACCCTCTGAGATACTGTGTGGAACACACCTCAGAACTGTCCCACTGAGGGGTACAGAAGCTGGAATATTTATCCACCAACTCCTCTAACTCAGTGGTCACAGATTACTCCTGAAACTCCCCAGTACTCCTTGCCTGTCCCTCTTCAGTGACCAGAGAGGTCAACAAGATAGAGAGACTCAGGAAGCCTTTGACATGCTCAGGAACTGTCTGTAGGTGACCTTCAGGTGGCAGAGGGGATATGGACATGACACAACAGCACCTGCCACAAAGACCTTCCCAAAATATGACATAATTGCCTTTGCCCCAGGACTTTGACATGAAATACTTGAATAGATAATTTAAATGACTTTTATATAATAACAGCACAAAAATAAATATTTACAGCTATTCGTGTCAAGGATGCCTTTATGGAGCTCCACTTGTCCCTTCGTCGGTCGATAACAATGACAAACCCGATGCTGGCAGCCTCCACACTGCAAAGAAGAGTGATCAGTGTCAGAGATTAGGTGAGACCCATGGGTTCGATGTGGCTCCCACAGCAGAACACACCCTACAGCCTCCATAGCACTCCAGGCTCACTGTGTAAACACCCTGTACAGCACAAGGGAATAACTGGGTCTAATATTCCCAACAAAGGAACAAACTCCCTCTCCCAGCCTGAGCCTGGAAGTCTTAACAAAACAAATATGTTGTCTCTCAGACCCTCTCAAGGACTCTGTCAAAGGAACACAGGTGCTCATGCCTGAAGGGAGATGCACAGGTCAGTTGAGCATGATGTGTCCCCAGTGTAGGCAGAGGACCTCGAGGTTGAGCTCTGCCATCTTTCCACTTTCAAAACAGACACTCATGGAACTGTCAATATACTTCCCTAAGAGTTAGTCTTAGAAGTATTCAGAAATAACACATGTCAATGGGAAAAACAACCCCCTTCCAGTACCTGGCCATAAATCAGCCAGTAGATCATACACATGAGAAGATGCCATCTTCATTAAGAACAAAAGGAATCTATTTGGTCCCCTCTCAAGTCCTCACAAAATTCTCACAAAATCCTGAAAGTAAAGTCCTAAAAGTGAAAACATTTTTATTCTCTCCTTTAAGAAGAAGAGTGGTCTAGAGAAAAGAGCAAGGGCTTTGGAGTCTTGTTCAAACCCTCGTGCTGCTACTTACTAGCACTAAGACACTAGGGAGATCCCTAACCTTTCTAAAATTCAGTTCTCTTCTCTGTAATGTGAGAATAAATCACCAATAGTGAAGTGATTAAAATCACAAATTTTGGAACCACCCTGACTAGATTTGAATTCTGAATTCTACTATTTATATATTATGTGTCTTTGGGGGGAGAGGGAAGAGTTACTTAATTCTTATAGTTTCTCAGATTCTTCATTTATAAAGCAGGAATAATAAAATAGTACCTATCTATCAGGTCGATGTGAGGATTAAATGAGTATGTATGTATATACATACAGACATATAAAATGCTCGGAATAATGCTTGACACTTGGTAATACTGTATAAGTACTAACTATCATTCTTTCTTTCTTCTCCACTCTTACTATTATTTCTTATGTGGTTGTCATGGAGATTAAAAGAGATACAGCACATGAAAAGAAGTTGGCACATAGTAAACCTTCAATAACTCTGTAATGTTGGATAAAAGGTAGGCTTTACCCTAAGTATGTGAATAAGGCAGAAGATCTAAGCCAAACCCATGAGAAAACATAAGTAGCTAATCTAAATTAAGCATCACTGGGTCAATCCATTATCATAGCCCCATATTGACCCAGCTATCTTGTTGGGAACATTTTCTAGGCCACTGTGCAAGGAGTAGTCATCTCTAGCTGGAAGACACAGGGATTGGAGATTATGGATGCAAAAGTGGCCAGGATTGGCAGGGTGGCTGTCAAGAAGGGGAGCCTCAGAGGGAAACCCCAAAAGTCTTCATGGAAATTCCACTTTAATGCTTGACCAAGTCTTAGGCCCCACAAATTTAGGTGAGAGTCCCAGAGGCTTACAGAGAACAGCAGGCCTGAGAATTGACGAAAAATTATGAAGACTGCAAAGTTCTAGGGAGAGATAATTGGTGTTTGGGCCCAGCCTGAATAAACAGACTTTGATGAACACCCTGGGCGTTTAGATGAAACTCCAGAAAAGCCATACTCTAGGAATAAAGGCAACACCATAGGAGCTGCCATCAGATTAAGGCTACACTCTAAGAGTAAGAACAAAACAGAAATGGACACATCCTAAGAAAACCTAAAACCACACCTCAGAAAGATCAGAGTGATCCACCAGTAATTTAACTGCCTACCAGATCAAAACTCTTTGTATGTGCATAAGCCTCTACAACATATCATCCATAATGTCCAGCATAAAATAAAAACTAATACAAATTCAAAGAAGCAAGAAATAGTGACCAATAATCAAGAGATAAAATAGTCAATAGATATAGACTTAGAGATGTTCCCATTATTGGCAGACAAAAACTTTGAAATAACTATGATTGATATGCTAAAGAAAACAGAGAAAAAGGTAGACAAAATGGATTAAGAGATGCATTATTTTAACAGAGAATTAGAATCAATAATAACAAATCAGATGAACCTTTTAGAATTATAAAATACCAATATCTGAAATTAAGAACTTATTAGATTTGTTTAACAGCAGACTGAACACAGCAGAAGACAGGATAGATGGGACTGAAAACAGATCAATTGAAACTAATTCAAGTTGAAGCCCAGAGAGGGAGAAAAGTAGAAAGAACAGGATGTATGAGAGACATAGGATATGAACAACAGGTGAGAGAATATGTTACAGAAATATTATTTTTTAAAATGGTTAAAAATTTTCCAAATCTGATAAAAGACAGCAACACACAGATTCAAGCAGTTCTTCTACTACCACATAGGATAAAACAAAGAAAACTTCACTAAGGTGTATCAGAGCCAAACTGCTGAAAATGAAAGAGGAAAATTTTAAAAGCAACCAGTGGAAAAAAGACACATTATCTTCAGAAGAACAACATTAACAAATAATCATTAACTTTTCTACAGAAACAAGGGAAGCTACAATCCAATGGAATGACATCTTTAGAGTACTGACCTAAAACCTCCCATTTAGAATTCTATCCCCATTGAACATTTATTTTAAAAACAAAGGTGAAATGAGGACTTTTCCAGACAACTAGAGCTGAGAGAATTTATTGTCAGTAGACATATACTTCAAGAACTATTAAAGGATATTCTCTAGGCTGGGTGAAGCTGGAAGCATGGAGAAATAGTCAGAAAAGAATAAATAAGTGAGCAATAAGGTTCAGCAGCAGATTAGAAAGACTTTCACTCTTACCAAAAACAAACAAAATACTGATGAAGTTAAAAACCCATAGTTTTCCTTAAATATGAGAGAACTCTGAAGACAGAGAAATATGAATGAACAAATTCCAGAGAGAGTTGAGACCTTCCATAGTAAGCAAATACTAGAGGAGACTTTCGCATGAAGTGGTGGTTGCCTATTCTGGGAATAGACAGAAGAATAAACGAACCTGAAGGAAACTAATCCCACATGGTAACCTGAATCCGCAAGAAGGAGTGAAGAGCACTGTAAAAGTTAAACGTGGAGAAATATTATCAACTATGACTTTTTACTTCACTGAAGACTACTGACTAATCAAAGCAAAAGTAATAAAGTATTATTAAATATATCAGATATGTAAAATAAAATATATCACCACAATAACATTAAAGATAGGAGGGAGTAAATGAAATTATACTGTTGAAACTAGTAACGAATGAAATTATATTATTTATACTGTATATAAAGTGGTATGAAATTAATCCACAGTAGATTGGCTAATTTAAAGATACATACCATAACACTAGAAAAACTATTGCTAAAAACTCAATAGAGGCCGGGCACAGTGGCTCACGCCTGTAATCTGGGAGGTACTCTGGGAGGCCGAGGCGGGCGGATCATTTGAGCTCAGGAGTTCGAAACCAGCCTGAGCAAGAGCGAGACCCCGTCTCTACTAAAAAATAGAAAGAAATTAGCTGGACAATTAAAAAATCTATATAGAAAAAATTAGCCGGGCATGGTGGTGCATGCTTGTAGTCCCAGCTACTCGGGAGGCAGAGGCAGGAGGATCGCTTGAGCCCAGGAGTTTGAGGTTGCTGTGAGCTAGGCTGACGCCACGGCACTCTAGCCTGGGCGACAATGTGAGACTCTGTCTCAAAAAAAAAAAAATAAAACAACTCAATAGAGGAAATAAATGGAAAATATTAGAATAATTCAAAAGACGGCAGGAAAGGAGAAATAAAGGACAAGTCACAGATGGTACAAATAGAAAGGTGGGAGATTAAAATCCAACCATCTTAATAATCACATTAAGTGGAAATGTCCTATACCACTTCATTTAAAAGACAAATAGTGACAGAGTGAATATACTGCTTATAAGATATACACTTTAGACATGAGGACAGAGATAGATTGAAAGAAAAGGACAGTAAAAGATATATCATGCAATCACTAATTGTAAGAAAGCCTGTGTGATTGTATTAATATGAAAAAGAAGTGTTCAAGACAAGAAGTACTGGTAGAGATAAATGATTCATAAAGATAAAAGGGCCAACTTATTAGGAAGACATAAAAATCCTAAACATCTATGCATGCAATAACATTGCTTCAAAGTATACTAATTAAAAATTGATAGAACTATTAATAAAAGAAAAACAGATAAATCCACAAAGTTTGAGACTTTAGTACTCCTTCCTTGGTAACTGATAGAACAAGCAGCCAAAAAATCAGTAAAGATATAGATCTCACTTTGAAGAACTCGACATCCACCAACTGCAGAACACACATTCTTTTCAAAGATTCATGGGACATTTATCAAAATAGACCATCATCTGGGCCATAAAGCAAGTTTCAACAAATTTTAAAGGATTGTAATTACAAATGGTGTACTTCTGATCACTATGGAATGAAATTGGAACTCTGTTATTCTTCTGTTTTCTATTTCATTTATCTTTGCTTTTTCTTTGCTCAGAGGAGATATAAGAACTAGCAAAACAGTTTTGTAGCACTAGCAAACACTGATGTTAAAAATAACAATAATAATTTTAGGTAATAATGGCTACTGTTTATTGAGCTCCTACCATTTGTCAGACATATTTATTTTTTATCTCACTTAACCTTATGAAATAGATATTATCTCCATTTTACAGATGAAGAAACAAAGGCTAATAGAAATACAAAAACTTGCCTGAGCTCACACTAGCAAACCTGGCTTTCAAACTCAGAGCCCTCTGATGCTAATGCTCACGCTCCTCACACTAACCCAGTGCTCCCCTTCCATTTTTTTCCCACAGCAAATCTACTTTTACCTTGTGGCAATTTTATTTTCTGTATTTTGCTGTTATACTAGTTTTTTTCCCTTTTCTTTTTAATTTAAGTTACATAATCATTGAAGGAAGTTCTAAGG